TTGGGGCTGCCTCTGGACCTTGAGACCCTGGTATGTGCAGGTTTTGCCCTCTCTCTTATTCTCAGTCCCTGCTGCTCCTCTTGTTATTTTCCTCCAGCCATTGAAATCTGTTTTCACTTCCTCACACACATTACTCTCTTTTCTGACCTGAGACTTTTGAAGGAGCTTAGGAAATTTCACCCCAAAATATGACTCTTTGGTATAAAGAGTATTTTGAATTAAGGGCCCTTAGAGATTAACAGGCGTTTGAAGGGGTTTTCCTCTATCTGCAGAAACCAGATGGACCCATCACAAGAACAATCGTTTTCCCTTTCACTCTGTTATCTCACTATATTGCAGGAAAGAAGATCAAGAATGCAACCAGATCTGGCTCAATACTTGTCTCTCAGGTTAATTTACAAGTAATCTGTTTCCCCCATCCATTCATCCTCCCTAGCAACTATTTATTGCCCCTAAACAGAATTACCTATATTCCTTGTCTCCTCCTCCCCTCTAAAAGGAGGGTATAAAAATATCTGGATCCCATGGGGCTACTGGGTAATCACTCTGTGATTCTCCCTGTTAACACAGTAAATAAACCTCTTTCTCTTATTAAGCTGCCTTAATTCTGAGTTGATCTTTCAGCAAACTTTTGGGGGAAAGGGGAAGTTTTCTCCTCACCCCTACATTTTCTATTTGCTGTCCTCCAGATCTGTAATGTTCCTCCTGCCTTCAAGGGGACAGCTCCTTCTCGTACTGAGTATCAGCCTAGGATTTATTTCAAAACGAGCACTCCTCCCCACCATTTTACCTTCCCCAATCCTTTGTTTCTTTCAGAGTACTTATCAAAATTTAAGTGATGTTCTTTGCTTGTTTCCTTTTTTACATATGTCTTTTGACAACCGGGATAGTATACAATGAGCTAGTATAGCACCTGGCACATTATATACTGTCAACAAGTATTTGTTGAGTAAATGCATAATTTAGAAAGCCACTTAACAAAGACAGAGTCCTTCTGAATCAAGAGAAAGAGCTACAGTGATCAAGACAAAGAAAGTGCTCAGGAATGCTTGAAAAAGAAGGCAAGTTGCTTTGGGATCAGTAAGCATAGAGGCCCAGGACTATCTTTGATGACTGAAAAAAAAAGCAGATCATTTAGAAAAATAAACTTTGATCGTTGTGAACTGATTTCATCTTCCCTTAGGCTAAAGAAACAGATAGGATTTAACAGGAGTCCAAATGGAAATCACATTAAGCTTTGTCACAGACATTTCATACTGTTACTTTGCTCATGCTGATTTCACTCATGAAAGGTGATGGTCATAAAAATACTTATCAAATCATAAAGGATTACATGCTTAGATACTTCAGAAGATGGGTCTGTATACATATCTGTGACCTGTGGTTTTAGGAAATGACTAATCTGGAGACTAAAATGGATGTAGTTGGATCTTCTGTGACTATAAATGCTGACCATCTAACACCTATAACTCATGCAATTGCATTGGTTTATGATAAGAGAATTGTCTAGGAAAACCCATCAATGTATCATAGCTAAAGAAAAAGCTAATGGCAAGAGATAAGCAGTATTCTTTATTTATTTTGCCCAAAAGATACCCCAAAAATATCCATTAAATATTATAAAGGGGAAGCCTGAGGTTTTGATTGTATCACATTGGCTCTCCTCAACTAAGGACATTTTCTACTTAACAGCAGAGAATCTGCAGTGAAGCTGGGACATTATTCTAGCTTGGAGCAAGTAATTTGTGTTTAGAGAAGGACCAAAACCCCAAGTCAGGTTGGAGAAGAGAAGTGGAAACTATTTTTTAGTTATGAAAATACTATATATTTAGAAGTTCAATGTCCTACTAACCCTCCAGCTATTCTCCAAACCTCCCCAAAACATTGCTGCCACTCTACTCACCAAAAGAGGTGGTTCTCTGACAGCCAACCCAAGACAGCTGGCATGAGGCTTGCCAGTCAACCAAAGATGTGTCACAAATGCATAAGAGTGGTTACAATAATTGCAGATGGTTCTTGGGAAAAATAATTTTGGAACAAAGATCTTTCTCACGGGGAAAGATATATGATTTTCCCCTTAAGGGGGAACCTGGGAGTCCAACCAGAGTGTCCTTTCAGTGAGCCATCACCTGGTATGGGACGCAGAGAGTCCTTCTGAATAACAACAGGTGGTTATTTGACACAAGGGGAAGAAGCAACATGTGGGAAAAAATTCCAGAGCATCAAACAAGTGAAACTGGACTTGGGTCTCAATCCAAAGGATGATTATAGGGTCAGACAAGAGAGATAAAGTCAAATGGTCACAAAGCGGTCAGACACTGGGACTATGTTTAATGAGAGTAATAGAAGAAACAGGTGGAGAGTAATTATGGCCATTTCCACAAACAGAACCAGATGTAAGAGTCATGGAGAGTTTGTTTGACAGGGTTGGGTTTAGATATTCCTAACATTCACTGTGACCACCCTTCACTCCAATAATCCTAATATAACAATCCACAAAGTATGATAAAAGAACATTTCACAAGAGAAAACTCTATTTCCTTCATGATAAAGGCAATTAAGCAATCAATCCGAAGTTCAGAACCATGCTGATATTAGAGAATCTGATGCAGTAGTATGTACAATTAGCAGAACCTAGAAAACTAAGTAAATAAGACTAAACTGATAGACTTCTACAAATAGTTAACTCAATTACTGTATAATTACAGGATTTGGTCAGGGCTCTCTAATGTAGCAATATAAATGAAGCTTTGAAAGCAGTTCTCTTTGAAAATTAATTGAGTGGCTTAAAGAAAAAAAAAATTGTCTTTTAAAAAGAAAAGCCACAAGAATGCACAAGTATCTGGTAAATCCAATAAAGATAAAAGAAAGGTCATATTAAATGATCATCTGAACTATCAAAGTAATCAAAGGTAGCCAAGAGGTGGCCAAGAGGAAAAATTAAAAAACTTAAAAGAAGAAACTCTACTGAACCAGGAATCAGAAGTCCCAGTTTCTATTACTGCCTTCTCGATTTACTAATTGCATAACTTTAGATAAATCTTTTAATTTTTTTCTAGTAATTAGGGTTCTGTTAGTCTAATATATTTTTGAGTGCCTGCCTACTATATGCCATGAATTGTTAACAAAATTGGGAAAGCACAGATGAATAAAATATAGGTGCATCCTGTAAGAGTTTGATGGGTTTAAAAAATGCACTACACTGTGATGTATACAATGATGGAATATTCAAAACAAGAGTAGTCTGTTTTGTCGTTCACACAACAACCACTTTGTGTAAGGCAATATACTAGATTCTGGAATACAAAATTTGATAAGGCACGTTTTCCTGCCCTCGAAGAATTTAAACTGGTTTATGGCAGAAGCATAAAAAAGTAATCATCTTATAATGCATGGTTATATGAATGGTATATACCATATGCATGGTGAGTAAAGTGTATTATAAAATCCCACATAACGAATATTTATCACAAGAGAAAGTGTTTAATTCACTCTAAAAGAATTAGGCAAGTGTTAAAAAAATGAATATAAAAAATAGTCCTAGGTCAGTAATAAACCTGGGGCACTTGGTGAAACATGCTCTCAACATGCTCAGGCTTACATAGATAAAATCTCCTGGAAAAGAGCTAATAATTAAAAGTTATAAAACACAGGAGAAAACAAAGTAACATAAAAGAGAGTCACCAGAGATTTATCAAAGCAGAATTAGACTGCTAATCTCAGATAACTGAGTAATCTCATAGACAAATTATATTAGGTGACATAGAATTGTTAAGGGAATAAAAGAATTAATCAAAAACTAACAGTCAAGAAAGAAACCACAAAGAAAGAGCAATTGACAATAAAAGAGAACCAAACAGAGCTTATAGAAATGAATAAAAATTTATAGAAATTAAAAATTCAACTGAGGGACTAAACAGAACATACATGAAAAAAGAATTCATCAATTAGATTAAACTAAAGATCCAAAATATAGAAAGCTAAAGATATGGAAAATAGAAAGTAGAAGTTAAGAAATATAGAGAATAGATGATAAAGTCTAGTAAGGAAGGTAAAATAACATTGCAGAAAAACAAAAACAAAGTTTGCCATCAACAGGAAAACTCCAAAGGAAGTTCTACAGGATAAGCTTCAGAGAGAAGGAAAATAATCTTTGATGAAAGCTCAAAGATGTAGAAATTAATAAAGAGAAGTTGGTAACTGTGGGGGGAAATTTAAAGAATCATTGTCTGCATAAAACAATAAGAATAACAAGAAGATAAATGAAACGAAAGTGTGCAAAGACCCCTAAATTATCTGTAAGGATAATAAAGATATTAACAGTAAATATGAACAGTAAAATTTGAGGATGCATATTATAATTTCTAGTTTACCTACTAAAATAATATAAACAAAGCATTTAAGTCCCCAACTAGAGGGAGAAAAATTATTTAAAATATAAAATCATCCAAAAATGAGAGGAAAGGAGAGAAATAAATATAAAATTAGTGGACTAATTAGGACAAAAAAAATAGATGGCAGATTTAATCCAAATATATCAATTTACATTAAGAATACATGGACTAAATTTTCTGGTTAATGGGCAACATTGTTGGATTATATTTTTTTATAAGTAAATTCCAAAGTTATTAAAAAAAAACCCACATCTCTACAGCATAAAGAGGCATACATTTGAATTATCAAAGGATATTGTTTATTCTATGCATTTAGAATTTTGCAAATAAAACCCAAAATTTTCTAAATTTTTTCCCTGAAGAGTCATTAGGAATTCTTTTTTTTTAATTTCATCATATTATGGGAGTATAAATGTTGTTAAGGTTACATATATTGCCCTTTCCTCCTCTCTCCCCTCAAGACAGATATGTTCACAATGGAATATTACTCAATTCTAAGAAATGACAGCAAGCTAGCATTGCTTATACTATCCTGGATTAAGCTCCAGCCCATTATCCAAAGTGAGGTGACACAAGATCAGGAAAATGGGCTCCACATGTACTCACCATCAAACTGGTACTGATTAAAACTATGGTGCTCGAATGGCGGTGTTCTCCAGGGATTCGGAGGTAGTGGGGGTAGACCTACATCTTAGAGATGTGGTGATGAGCATTGTGGAGGGGAAGGACATACCTCTAATCCTTCCTAGGGAGAGGCAAAGATATAAAATGTAACCAAATTGTAAAAAAAAACACAAAAAACATTTAACGGGTGTCTGGCAGGTGGGGGGGAGGGGATAAGTATATACTTACATAAAGGATTATATTTTTTTAACCTAACTCTATGCTGTTTTTTAAATAGATAGAGGCTCAAAATTAAAATATGGAAAAAGATATAGCATGCAAATATTAATAGTTATGTTAATAGACAAGATAGGCTTTAAGATAATAAACATTACTAGAGTCAAAGGGATACTCCTCACAATAATAAAAGGTTCAATCACTAGCATGACACAAAATTTTAAAGCTTGCATGTAAGTAATAACAGAGCCTCAAATATTTAAAACAAAAATTGATAAAATTCACCAGAATACACATTCTTCTTCAGTGCACTACAACATTTTCCCAGATAAACCATACATTGGTCCATAAAACAAATTTCAATAAATTGAAATGTGATCACAAGAGTAAACAACCAATACTCTATAGCACACTTGCCAGAAGATTTTGCTCAACTGTAGGCAAATGTAAGCGTTCTGAGAATATTTAAAGTAGGCAAGAGACACCCAGATTTAGCAAATTAAAGGACAGGGTGCCCAGTTTAATCTAAAAGTCAATACACAAATACTTCCTTAGTGACGCATACCCAAATATTGGGGGTGGGAGGAAATACTTATGCAAAATATTCATTGTTTATCTGGCATTCAAATTTAAACTGAGCATCTGTGTTTTCCTGACCATTCCACTGTGAGGGTATTTCCAACCTTCCTTCTAATGACTGGATCTGGTACTCTGTTCTCCAGTGCCCTACCATGAACTCCTCTGGTTATCAAAGCACTGCTTGGGGCTGCTCTCCACCAACTCTGGAAGAAATATTGGCTTTGTCCCATTCTGTAGGTTGTCTATTTGCTCTAATGATAGTTTCATACAGAATGGGAGAAATATTTGCATGCTACACATCTGATAAAGGGCTGATAACAAGAATCTATATAGAACTTAAGAAAATTAACAAGAAAAAATCAAACAACCCCATTAAAAAGTAGGCAAAGGGACATGAACAGAAACTTTTCAAAAGAAGACAGAATAATGGTCAGCTCAACATCTCTAATCACCAGGGAAATGCAAATCAAAACCACAATGAGCTATATCACCTACCTCCAGTGAGAATGGCTTTTATCAAAAAGTCTCAAAACAATAAATGCTGGAGTGGATGCAGAGGGAGAGGAACACTCTTACACTGCTGGTGGAACTGCAAATTAGTAAAACCTCTGTGGAAAATAATTTGGAGATATCTCAAAGAACTAAAAATAGAAATACCATTTGATCCAGCAATCCCACTATTAGGCATCTACCCAAAGGAAAAAAAGACATTTTACATAAAGACATCTGCACTTGAATGTTTATGGCAGCACAATTCACAACTGCAAAGATGTGGACACAACCCAAGTGCCCAACAATACATGAGTGGATTAATAAAATGTGGTGTATGTATACCATGGAATACTACTCAACTACAAAAAACAATGGTGAACTAGTACCTCTTATATTATCCTTGTTAGAGCTTGACCTCATCCTTCCAAGTGAAGTATCACAAGAATGGAAAAACAAGCACCATATGTACTCAACATCAGACTGGAACTAACTGATCGACATTTAGGTGCTCACATAGAAGTAATGTTCTTCAGGTGCTGGGAGGGGTAGGAATGGGTAAATTCACAACTAACGGGTGCAGAACCACTGTATGGGGGAAGGGTAGGCTTGTAGCTCTGGCTTAGGTGAGGCAATGACATTATATGTAACCAAAATGTTTGTATCCCCATCATATTCTGAAATTAAGAAAAAAATTAAAATTAAAAAAAAACAAAAGAAATGCTGGCTTTCAGTATGGCGAATATGGTTATGTCTTCAACACTTTCCTGGTTGTAATTCTGGTTGTAGCATTGTAGGAAATACATTGGTCAAAAAAAAATCTAGGGGCTTATATCAATAAAAACACAGCAAATTCTTTCATTTATAAGTAAGCCAGGTTGGCTCAAACATTAGTGAACAGAGGAAATAGTGGAGAATCTATGAAAGGAGGGCAAAGAGAACAGATTTTTAAATCCTAGAAGACTATAACAACTAAATTCAGGAGCCAGGACAACTGAGTGGAAGTTCTAGGGGCAGTAACATGTAGTCCTAATAAAAAGGGCAGACAGTCTGACTCAGTCTGGGGTTGAGCAAGCCTTGGCACATCCCTCACCCCTAATCTCTTCCCTGAATGTCACAGCCACGTGTCCACCTGCCTACTCAACAGTTCAGTAAAGGGCGGCCTTGCTGAAATAACAGGAAAATATCTAATCCTGTAATTTCTTAGTAACAGTTAAAGATCAATCCCATGAGTTCTTCCACTAACAGGCACCCATTGGGAGTTCTGTTTTGCACAACTTCTGAAAATGAGATACAGCCTCAACCATACTTGAGGGCAGAGTCACTTCTCCTGCGATAATCCCATAATCCCATCTCTAGGAAAGGCGGGGAAACCAACTCTTGGACTTTAACATCTGCGGCTGCTTTTGTTATCACTGACAACCATTGCTATATTTTTTCTCTTTGTCCCCCTTAAAATTAGCAAACTACTTGGCCTCGGTATCAGCCCCCCCTTCACTTTCTTTGGGATGCTACGCCATCCCACTACTCTCCCCATCTCTTTCCTCTCTCACTCTCTTGTTCTCTCTCTCCTCTAAGAAGATAAACTTTTTTACATTTATATATCCGAATCTTTTCTTGAGAAATCTTTCTCCACCTGTGTAGTGAGCATTTACTAGGCTTTCCATCCTAACATTCACGTGGATGTTTCATCTGAAATGAGCATCCTCTCAGTCTCTGGAAAATTTAACTCCTTATTCCTATCTTCAAACCACACTTCCTACCTCCATTGCCTTAGTGTGGGCAGGTCCTCTCTCCCTGGGCTGACTGCAATATCTAACTAGTCTCCCTGCCCTGTCTCATCCAACTACAATGTGTTCCCTACATCTCTACCAAACATACCTTCTAAAAGGCAAATCTTTTAAGATCCTTCCCATCTTAAAATCCATCAGACCTCTTCATTACCATTTTTCATTGGGTTATTTGTTTTCTTGTTATTGAGTTGTTGAAGTTCCTTATATATTTTGGAAATTTACCCCTTATCAGAAATTCAGTTTGTAAATATCTTCTCCTAGCCCATAGGTTGCCTTTTCACTCTATTATTTCCTTTGCCACACAGAGCTTTTTAGTTTGATGTATTCCTGCTTCTCTATTTTTGCTTTTGTGGCCCTTGCTTTTGGGGTTATATTCATGAAATCATTGCCAGGACCAATGTCATGACTTTTCCTCTTTGTTTTTTTCTAGGAGTTTTATAGCTTTATGTTTTAATTTAAGTATTTAATTCATTTAAGTTTAGGTCTTTTTATCTATTTTGAGTTGATTTTTGTGTATGGTGTAAGATAAGGGTCCAATTTCACTCTTCTGCATGTGGATATCCAGTTACCAGAGAATAAAATCCAACTCCTTGGCAAATAATACCCCTTTACAGTGTAATTGTGGGGATGGGGATTGGTACAATAACCTTCTCAGAGCCTTGGGCCTCTTGAGGCCTCCTGCTAGGCATGCCCATGAGGAATACTATGGGACACAGGGCTTCCTTCAGGGTCCTGATGCTTAAAAATTGAAGCCCAGGCTCAACCATCTGTCTCATCACTGCCCTGTCCTCCCACCTTTCCTTGGCTCAAACCCTTGGTCACCTGTGTCCCTAAGCAATCTGTAAATGGCAGTGCAGGGAGTGGAGGTGATTCTGAGGCTGCCCCTGTGCAGCCAAATAGGGGGAAGGCTCACTCTTTATCCCTGCCTGGCTACCACATTCCTCCCCTTCCAAACTCTAATCCCTGGCAACACTAACTTTGTTTTGAACTCTATGACGACATGATTTCAAGAATGCCACATAAACAGATGACATAGTGTGTAACCTGAGTTTGCCTTTTCACTCACCGCAATTCCCTGGAAGCCACATTCTTGTGTGTCTAGTTCTTGTTCTTGTGTGTTCAGTTGACTTTTGATGGTGTGTCTTGCCGCTTCCCGTTTCACATTTGTCAATAGCTGCAATTAGTACCTTACTGGTGATAATGGCTTTTTTCCAATCTTTTTCTATTTGTTCAATAAACACTGAGTTCCCTACTATGTGCCTAGAGAGCATTGAGGATAAGGAAATGAATCAGATGTCTCTCAGACTCTGACAACATTAAAGTCTGATGGAAGAATCTCATGCCTACAGACTGGTTTACAGACAAAAGAGAAAAGGTACTTCCACATTTTGTGAGAAGGATCAGAATATGTGTGTGAGAGGGTCAGGACCTTCATCTGGGTGAGGGCTAGGGAAGATAACCAGTGAATTGTCTTAAAGTATTGTTTATATAATTCTTTATGAAAACTTGAGAAAACCGTAATGCCTACATTAAAGTTGGAGCAGGGGGAGAACTGAACCAACACTGAGTAGACTGCACTGGAAATAAATCACAGGCCCCACTTTTCCAGAGCAGTGACAGCTCCTTCAGGCTCAAGATATCCTGCTCCTTGGCTGGGGGAGAACTGCCTTCCCTCTCTCTGTCCTGTGGGGATTAAGAATGCCTGGCCAGAGGCAGAGCTAAATTCCTTTCTGTTTGTGGTGACAGGAGGTGAGTATTCTAGTACTCTCTCCAGACCCAGGATGTTCTGAGCTAGGGATCCAGAGACTGGGTGGAGAGGGACAAGTAACTAGGAGAGAAAGATGAAAGGAACTGGTGCACTCACAGCAACACACTCACTCACAGAGACAGGACTGGGAGATCCCAGTTAGCCTATAGCAGGTGGAGGAGGCTTTGGGGACCCGGCCTTTTCCTCACAATGGGGTTGTGGCAATAAATTTTTCTCCATTCTAAGCAATGAAAGAACATTTTGTCACCCTGGCTTATTCTGTCCCTTCTCATCCACTCCCTGCCACAGGTCACCAAGCATCTATAAAATAGAATTTGATTTTCAGCTGGAAGAACTGGTCCATTGCGTCTCCCACTCTACTCTCTGGCCTCTGGGTCCCTCTCCTCTTCCTTCCAGTAGGGGTTACTAACCTGGAATCATGAAGTGGTGACACAGAGACCATGCTGTTCTGGTCTGTTTACCTTAGTGGCGGTCCACCCTCCCACGCTGACGTGGAGAGAATCCTTTCACATGGTGTTTTGCTGATCATAATAACCAGGAATAGCAAGGCTTTCTGAGTGCCAAAGAGAAAAGAAATTTTACGTGAAAATAATGTATGTGGAAATGTTAAGATAATGTAAAGAGGAAGGACAATGGGATATTTACCGGGAAGCTAATGAAGGTTAAGTTCTGGGACCCTAACTTGCATGGGCCCCTTCTAAAACCCCAGAAAACTTAGCAATGTGTTTATGTGTTTATTACATGTTTTTGTAAAATGGCAAAAGGCAATGCAGTCCTGTCATTTACCCTGAAGAGATGCAGACCAGAAATATTAATATTTGGTATTTAGCACTAATGGACTACCAGTCACAATCTTAAATATTGTAAATGTTAAGAGGTGTGTTTTACAACTTCAGTCTGACACCTGTGTAAGTCTGAGCAAGTCACTTATTCTCTCACAGTTCAGTATGTTCATTTACAAATGAGGTTAATAATTACTAATATTTATTGAGTACTTTGTTTAATGTATGCTGTTCTGAGCCCTTTATGTGGATTCTTTCACTTGATTCACCAACTATCCTATGAAATAGGAACTTTCATTATCTCTAATACACTCAAAACGAAATGAGCTGAAGAGAGTTTAAGCAATTTTACTTGAAGTCACACAATTCGTTAGTGGTAGAACTGGCAATCAAATCCAGATGTAGGAGTCTGATTCCAGGGCTCAATCTCTGAACCAACCAGTAGAATTGATAGATGCTGTTTTCAACAAGGTTGTTAATTCAACTCAAACTAATTTAACATTAGTATCTCTTGAGTGTCAACTCTGAAATCAAGAAATGTATAATTCACAGGAAAGTGCTTTGGAGAAATATTAGTATTTTTAAAGTAAAAGTATAACCAAGTAAACACTAAAGTAAATCAGGTATTTCTAATTTATCAAATCCATAAGGGATGAAGAGAAAATTTTAATAGGTGACTTAAACATTCCTCTGTTTGTGTATATGTTATGTGTGTATGTGTGTATAAAATTAAAGCAATTACAGTTCCCCTAGAACTGTGATTGGAGGTAGTTTTAGGAATTATTAGAGTTAAGACAACCTGGAAATCCAACTCTGACTTAAGTCATCATGATATGACTTTAAGACTTCTCGTGCCCAGAGTACAGTGTGCCTGCCTTTGTTCTTACCACCACATACTGAAATTGCTTCTTATTTACCAGCCTCCCAAGTCCGCAAGGACGGTCTGAGCTGAGTTGTGTTTTGTCTGTGTATGTCCTGCACCTAATATGGCACCGCCACCGCCACCTAGGTTTTCCTTAAGATATGCTATGGCTCTTTTTTTATTTGTGAGATAGGCAAATGCACTGTGCTGGAGATGAGCTCAAGGTTCACTATGTTCTTGCTGCCTTGGTCAAATCCCTTGCTAGGCTACTGAGAAACTGAAATCTCTGAATAAGAACTGAGGTGATAGTGATAAATGCACTTTTAATAACATATAGCATCTTCTGTTTCTGCTTCCAGTCAGAATAGGAGCCTCTCAGAATTGGAATGCCAGGAAGCAGCCTGATTCCTCGGGATGAATTCCACCATAGGCATCTATATTCCCTCACATCTGTCTTTCCTTTTAGGCTCAAATTGCCTCATACCTTGGCTATTTTGAGAATATTTTTTTCCTGGGTTTTTTTTTTGGATAGGGTCTTGCTATATGGCCTCAAACTCCAGGGCTCAAGTGAGCCTCCTGCCTCGGTCTCCCAAGTAGCTGGCATTACAGGCTCAAGACCCCATTCCTGGCTCAAGAACCTACTGACTGGATATGTCTTCCCTTCTGTCCTTCCTCACTCATATTCGTCCCACATATGCACCCCAGAATGGATTTTTTGAATTAATTTAATCATATCTTCTTCATTAAAAACCTTCCATGGCTCTCCACTGTTCACCAAATAAAACCTCACCCTTGGGTTTCTTAACTCTAACCAGATTCAATGTATATTTTCTTTCTGTCTCTGCCAACCCCAAACCACAATTAAACAAAAGTGTAAACAGCTCCACACAAATGCTATACTTTTCCTGCTCCTGCTTCTTTCCTGTCTGAAACTGACATTCTTGATTCTCTTTAAATATTCCATTATTTTCATATAAGCTTAATGTGGAATCCTACCTTCTACCTTCTCTATGACTCTCCTCCCTACCTTATCACTTTACCAGGTTGCCTTCTCAGTCTTATGTAGATATGTCATTACACTGGACTACAGCTATGCCTCAGCCCCTCCACTAAAGAGGGCCTTGGATGGCAGAAATACTTTCAGCTCTGCAGCACCCACACCCTAACCCCATGCAGTGCCTCTGCAGCACCCCACACCCTAACCCCATGCAGTGCCCAACAGCTTTTTATGTAAAGTATGCATTCAAAAATGAAAATTATTTGTTGTAGCTAGACACACATTTTGTTCTTTCCAAATACTGATTGTAGTTAATAAATATCTTCATATATTTTTCTACAGAGACGAAGAGATAGAATAATATAATCATTTACAACAGTCCCCATCTTTGAATATTACTTTAAATATTTCATACATCATAAACAATGCTTAGTTGGCAAAGCTGTTAATAATTTAAGGAGCCTACTTTTTAAAAGCCACATTGATCAAGGAGAGATTTTTTTATTACTTTAAAATCCAGTTAAATGTAATCAATTTTTTAAAAAATTTAAAGTTTTAAAGGCTTAGAAGGATAATATAAAAATGAACTTTAGTAGAACCAGAGACAGTACAGAAAGGGGTAGACTTTATTTATCATTGTAGCGATTAAAACTATTTAAAAAGAGGAAGGAACAACTTCAAAAAAGGAAATAAAAACTCAGATAGAAACCACTTATCAGGAAGGATTATAGAAATCCTAAATATCATTCCTAGACTATAGGCATCTAAAAAGAAAGAGAACAAATATTCAAAATACCAAATAATCTCAGCCCTTAATATTCAGATGGTCCAGAAGTAGACTATCCCTACACCCTACTAGGGTGATTTAGTATACACCCTAAATCACAGCTTAGGAGTAGTTTCCCAAATATCCATTTTATCATAATTTACATTCCAGAGAAACCCTCTGCATCTTTAGCTATGCTGCAGAGAACAGAAACAGACATGAGCATTCTCCCTTCATTTCCCCTCCACACATCCTTTGCTCTATAATCAGGAATAGTTTCAATGGAAGTACCCAGGCTTCTAGAAGAAGAGGGATCCAGTGAGCCACCAAAATGCAGAAAAATCAAGACAATGTGGTTCCAAAAAAGGACTTTGGTTTGATGTTGAATCTTCATTTGTCACCTTTCTGGAATTAGGAAAACAAGGCAGTGTGTCTTCTTGGGACATTTCTCATTAGGGCAGCTCTTCCATCTCCACTGAGGACTCTGCCGCCCACACACAGATCGCAGGTCCTGCCCTGGAAGCGCTCAGCCCTTCAGTCTAATCCATGACTCATTTAGAACAGAACAGTCCACATGGAACCCCTCAGCACCGACTGTAGTTGCACACTGCACACCATGCAATGTAAGTGTGGGTGCTACTCCTGAAGCAGGCTTCGAGAGATCAGCATCCTCATCACTTCATTGCTACCTGCAAGAGGGACAGAGAAGGAAGGATTTAACAGCAGCAAAATCTGAAAGTTCACTAAAGCTCTGACCAGGCTACTCCAGGTCTAGTTCAGGATAGTTGTGGATTTAAACTACAATCACTGCTTTTATCTCTGGGAGGTATGGGTTCATCATAGACTTCTTGCCAAAGTACAGAAAAATGCCAGGAAAAAAAAGTCCAAAAGGAGATATACCAAAATATTATTCTGGATGTACAAACATGAGTGATTTTTTTTCTTTTACTTTTCTTATTTTTTATAAGTTTTCAACAGTGAATACATATTTCTTTGGTAATCAGAAAACTGAATTATAAAAGAACAAAAACATATTCCCAGAAAAGAGGGTATCAATTGTTTGCTTCATTTTTAGCAGTGGCCTTTAATACAAAGAGAAATATAAACGCTCTTGAGGAAAGAGTAAGCATAATATCAAATAATGCCAAATTTAAAATTTTAGATTTATCCAATAGCAAAGTCCATCATAAAACAAAGTAATAAAGTAACCAGTACCCAAATTTTTCTACAAGTAGATGATGGTGTGACCTAAAATAAATGTATCTGGCTTTTCACATATATTATAGTAGGGTTAAAAGACGGAGTTAGAATGAAGGGCAAGTTTCCAATACTCATAAAAGCCAAGTGAGAAAGTAATAGCCAAGGGCAACAGAAGGAATGAGACCCTGGGGAATGGAATTTGAATACTGGCAACTGAGCTAATAAACATGGTTCCAGGAAGCAGAAAGCAGCAGACTAATCTTGAGCAGTCTATAATTCAAACATAATGCCAGAGGAGGGGTCTCAAAGTCTGGTTCCCAGACAAGAAGTGGCAGACTCATTGGAAAACTTGTTAGAAATGCAAATTCTCAGGCCCATACTAGAACCATGGGAGCAGAAGCTCCGGGGGGAGGGGGGGGGATGGGGGTCCCCCAGGGGGCCAGCAGTCTGTTTTAACAAGCTCTCTAGGTAAGTCTGGTGCATACTCGGGTTTGAGAAGGATACTTTGAAAGGGGTAGAGAGGCCCCATTATATAATGTACCCAATGAAGCAGCCCCACATTACTTCACTGAAAGTCAAGAAGCCTCTGCCCCAACTGCTTTTCCTACAGTGGAACCCCAACTATCTACACCAGCTGGAAAACGAGTCATGGAATTTCAAGACTTATGCACTGGTTGTAGAGAGTGGAGAAAGCCGCATGCTGAGCCTGGCTCCAGTGGCTTACAAGTGTTCCCAGACAGAACGCCTGTGACTACCAAGAAGACACCCATATACTGATGATTTATTTTATTGAAAAATTTACTAGCAATATTGATACACATATCTTTTAGACTTTCTGGCTGATAATCAATTTGTAGAGCTGCTGGTGACCATACTGGCTCACATTTGCCCTGTAAATTACTGTATAGAAGTTCTGAGAGCCCTGAGGACAGGTACTTTATAATAGTAAAGAATAGTCACTGCCGTAGGCTTCAACATGCTTTATAACATCTCAGTTTGAGGCTTCTCGCAAATTGCAAATAAAAAGAGCAGAAGCAGAAATGGTTCCATGTACTACCCATGGTGACAAAGCAGTCTCCTGACTCCAGGCCGCTGCTCCTTCTAATGCACCAACAGGCTACTTTCAGAGCAGGGCTGGGGAAAGGCAGGCAGACAGGAAGGAAGGAAGGAGCCAAGACAGACAGGGCCTGATGGGACAAATAGGTGGGGGAAAGCACTGATCCTATATCCATTCTGAAAGGAAGAGAATATCTCTGGCAGTTTTTACCTTCTAGAATTTGGTGGACCCTGGAGTCCCGCACATACTGCTGAACAGCATAATCCTTCAGGTAGCCATAGCCTCCATGCATCTGTAAAGCCTGGTTGCAGATCTGCAGGGAGACAGGGATCAGATGCCACTGACTGTGGGAAGACTGTGGATCAGGTGGCTTCCCTCCCTACCCCAACCCCCAATCGAGCAGCCTGCTGTAGACTGACAGGAAACCAACTCACAGCCAAGCCCAAAGAGGAGTCCACATTCTATGTGGTCAGAGACAACAAAGGAAGTCCACTTACTGAACCCTACTAGACAGGCAACTTAAAGACCTCTGTCTTTTCTCACTTACTATCCGCCTGGCAGAAGTTGCCCACAACCATCCTGGCTAGATTTACATGGAGCTAAGGTGCCACCTAGTGGTCAAGCAGCTTCATTGTGGCTCTGCCCCCAACAACGTAAACATGGCAGAGTGCTAAATTTGAGCAAGAGGCATTGAGCCACTGTGAAACTTCCAAAAGTGGCGTTTCACCTAGAACACAACCAAACAACACTGACACCATGAAGTATGTAATGGCATGGAGCAGGCTAAAAAGCCTGCTATGAGAGCTCCCATGCAGGCCTCTCATGAGTTCCTTTACATCTTTAAGCCCCAGGGTGGCCCTACAGCATCCCAGGAGAGGTGGGTTTCAAAGCTGACTTATGCCTCTTAGCACCTCTGGGCCTAGCAGCTGTTCCCTGTCCATCTCAGGAGAGCCAGAGGGCTTATCACATACAGCAAAGCATTCATCTGTAGCAAAGAGCTTGGCCATGGAGCACAGGGCCATTGCATCTTCCCGTTCCTCCTGCAAGGCCACTGCTGCACTGCGGATCATCAGTCTCGAGGCCACCAGCCTTGTTGCCATATCAGCCAGTTTGAACTGCAGGTACTGCAGCAACAGGGGAGAAGAGAACCGACAAGACAGAGGGGCTCAGATAAGCACCTGATCCGGGACCCTTAAAAAGACATCCCTAATGAAATGTCTTTTCTAAGTGAGCCAAAGCTTCAAAGTCTCTTGCCTCCTCCACAGGAACTTTACAGCTTTGTGAGTTCTAAGTCCATTTGCTTGCTCTGCACTCTAGTATCGTCACCCCTGAAAAAGATCACTGCTAGAAACAAAGCACAAGCTGTGGCTAAGATGGTGGTAGGACTCCACGAGGGATGTCACAGCTTCTGGTTCCTAAAGAACTCGGGCCCTAGAAGCAGGTCTCAGGGGCTGCAAAGAGTGGAAAGCCATGCAGAGACACCAGGGATGTTACCTGTTTACTGGCCAGAGGCTCCCCAAACTGCTTCCGGACATTGAGGTGGTCTCGGGTGAGGATGACTGAGGCATGAGCAGCCCCCAGAGAGCAGGAAGCTAGAGGGGAAGAGTGCCAACATTCCATCTGAGTCGGAAGGGCAGCGCGGCTTGCCCCAGCCTGCTACCTCCTCACCCCATCCGTTCATGTCCTCACCAATGTTGATCCTCCCTCCGTTCAGTCCTTTCATGGCAATGAGGAAGCCCTGCCCCTCGTTCCCAATTCTGTTGGCCACAGAGACAGCACAGTCTTCAAAGATCACAGCTCGAGTTGGCTGGGAGTTCCACCCCACCTGGCAAAAATCAGGGACTGTGTGGCTGCCCAACAATCCACCAGGCAGGGCGGCCTTCCCTGGAGACAGAAGTCTGTGAAGTATGGGTTCCAATACCCTGGGACTCAAACCCACAAGAACTTAAAACAAGGAAAAAGAAAAAGTTCAGATTTAAAGGCTTGTCAACACTCACAAGATGATTGTTTAAGCTAAACATTTTTTAACTTACTAAGAAAATCTGCATTCTAATGTCTACCTTACCAGACTAACCTACAAATACTTTCCCCAACTTTTAGGAATGTGGCAGAATCTGCCCTTATACTCTTTTATGAGAACAGAGACAATATCAGGCTTATTTGGAGAAGTTTAATTTACTTTTAAAGGCCTTAATAGCACACTTCTCTTTTAAAAGCATAGTGCTCCTAAAAGATGTTGTAATTCGATTGGGGAGGGAGGAATAACATGCACTATGCTGGCAACTCCTGGTCTAGCACTTAGCTGCAGACAGAGTGATGTACTGGCACTAGCTCAGGAGAGCCAATTATGTAACCTGTTTTCCTAACTCAGCATTCTGTATATCACAAAATCAGCCACGGCAAGAGTATTGACACTACAGAAACTGGCAAACACTGCAAGTAAGTTTGTTTTTCCCAGAGAGCTGCCCTGTCAGGGTATCACTTGATACACCAGTTGTAAGCTCAGAGAAAATTCTGAAAACCTGAGATGTATTCCGTGTAACACAACTAATTAGCTTTATTTTTCATCTTTGGACAAATCATCTGACTTCTTTGTGGCCTTCGTTTTCTTTATATAAAATAGGAGAATTAAACTAAAATCCAGCAGAGCCTCTTTTTTCAAACAAAATCTTATTCAGATACTTCACATGTAAATAGATTAAGGACCTCACTACTTGATCTCCTCTTCCAGGGAGTACAAGGCTTCAAGGAACTTTCAGGCCAAGTGAGGCAGATTTTGAAAACCGAAAACGATAAAAAATTTCCCAGTTCCCTTCTGGCTCTGAAAATATTACTGCCTTCACATCCTTTCCTTATATAAAAACATCCAGCAGCTCTGTTTTGTTGATGAGATGAACTTCATTCCTAAGCTTTTTATTTAAGCTCTTCTCCCTGACCCCAGGAGCTAGCACAATTGCACACATTGGTTATGTCCAAAATGTCTGTTATGTTACAAAAAAGAAGGGGCACAAAAACTCATAACTCCTTGGCAGTTGCAAAGGGTCAGGTAGGATTGTGCAGGAAAATACAGAAACTCTAAGAGCAGTGAAAAAGAAGTATATTTAGGGGTTATTTCACTATCTGACTTCTCCCCCCAAAGCCCAACTGCCATAGTACAAACTGGAGATAGATGACTGTTTTGAGATCTTGTCTAAAAAATCTGAGTGGGTTTCACCCCTAACACCAATTATAGTTACATAATCACAGGTCTATTATTCATGGCCTGGCCATGGGGTTTCTTTTTTTTCTTTTATCCTATGATAAGAGGAAGACATGAGGTTTCTTAATTTTAGGAACATCTTACTTTCCCAAGAACTTTTAGAAACACTGTCCTTCTTGGATTATTGAAAATACCCACAATCACCTCTAAGGAGTTTTACTTTATTTTTAGTCAAAGAAGAAAAGTAGACCACGTGTTTCTCATTCCTGAGAATTCTGGCCAATAGCAGATCTTTTATATGTATCTCCTCCTGGGGTAAAAAGTACAACAAACCGAAAAGCTGGATAAGAAATACAGGCCAAAAGAAGAGGCAGGAGAAGCGACAGCACTACATACCAGGTGGCCTGTGGGACTTACTGGCAAACTTTGCTACTCTCCCTAGAGGCCTAGTGTTTCTTTAACAATGTCCTATTCTATTTTATATGCTCCTGTCAAAAATCCTAATAGAAGTAACTGCTTCAAAGGTAGGTTAGCAGGTATGTGAACCTACTTTCCGAAATAGGGCAAGAGTTGGTCTGGCAGGTGGCAGAGTCTCATACCTCCAATTGCTTCCTGTCCAACAGCCACTCACCTTTTTCTCCTTCTTGCCGAAGCTGAGGCCAGGGGTTCCCTTCTCAACAACTATGCACGAGATGCCTTTGGGGCCTGGTCCTCCCGTTCGGCACATGACCACATAGATGTCTGACTCACCACCACCACTGATGAAGGCCTATGGGGTTGGAGAAGGGGCATGTAGGGATCGGGAACGCATAAGTTCTCAGAGCCTAGTGTCTGGGAAAACCACTGAGGTCCTCCCAACAATAGGACACTAAAGGAACAATGGCACAGAGAGGCTGAGGAGGGGTAAAAGGTAGCTGCAGCAACTAGGGAACCTGGGGCTTATTGATGAGAGTATAAAAAGGACAGACAAAAGTGAATGAAAGTATCTAGAATCAGATCTGAAGACACAGAAACAGTGAGAGTAAATAAAGGGAAATGGGTCAGAGGTTCTCTTCCTAACATGGAAAAATTCTATGGGAATAGTAACTCGTAAATGCAAAGGAACTAGCAATGTCAGAAGGAAGGTGGGCATGATCTCCAAGTTGCTCTGAGAGGGCAGCATGCTAGTACCTTGGAGCCATTGAGGATATAATGATCTCCTTGTCGTTTAGCCGAGGTCAAAAGAGATGCAGCATCACTCCCGCTTCCTGAAGCAGGTATCAAAGGGGAGCAGAGAGAGGGGTGAGAAAGTCAGTGAAGTCAAGGGAGCCCAGCGCAGTTTCATCTCCTGAAAAACCTTCCCTAAAGGCAAACAGCTCAGAGTGCTACTGTAAAATCCAGATGGCCAAAGGAATTCTCTGTACTTTGTAAAAACTGCTGCACCAATTGGATCACTGTCTGAGTACTGCAGCGAGCCTCTGCAAGGAGGTTCCGCTCTATAGCCTGCAGGCCCCTGATCTATGGGCCTCTCAGTTCTGTGACATCAGGTCATGGGACTCTACTACTCCACAACCAAAGTGCTGGCAAGTGGTTCTGTGTGTCAGGAGGCTAGAAGGAGTGCTTGGTGACTTCACTCGAGTCACACCTCTCCCTACTGTATGTCGCCTGCAGTACAGCAAACCCACCTGGTTCAGTGAGGCAGTAGGAAGCAAACTTCTCCATGGTACAGAGCGGTGGGCAAAATTTGTGCCTCTGTTCCTCATTTCCAAAGCTATCAATTATCCAGGCACACATGCTGATAGGTACACCAAGAAGACAAGACATTGACGGAAACAAAGCCAGAAAAGAAAAGGAAATTGGGGGGATGGGAGAGAGAACAAAGGGCAGGGCAGCAAAGCAGGGTAAAGGAGAAGAGAGTGGGAAGGGAAAATCACAATTGAGAAAAGTCAACTTCAAATGAAAGGACCAGATTAAAACATGTTTCTGGAATATGTATCACCTGGAGATACCCAGGACCAGTTTCTCACCTGGATGTTCATTCTACTTCTAGCTAGGTTACATGGGCCCCTGAAAATCAGAGTTATATATACTTTTTATTACTTTCTCAAATCATTGGTGGTTCTATCTTTAGATGGAAGAAAAGGGTACCAGGGTACCACTGACTACTCACTCTACTGGAGAAATCTGCTGATACCAGCTCAATCTAGGACTGGGGAGAAGGCTGGCTGACCTAAGTCCCTAAGGAATGCACAAGACAACACAATCAAGTCCAATAGGCAGCAGCAGACCTGGTATGTACTCTTGAGTCTAGTTTCTCAAGAGCAATCAGCTTGAAAAGATCAATCTCTTTCCTATCTATGAATCTGAAATTTCCCAATCAATCCATGTGAGCACTTTATTGTGCTTTCCAAGCCTGGGCACTCACTTGTGTATGCTTATATAGGCTGTGGTGCTGGTGCAGCCTGTAGCCAAGGCTTCAAAGATGACAGAGGTATCGAGCCGTGACAGTCCAGATCCGCCCACATCTGTTCGCACGTATACCCCCCCAAAGCCTAGCAGGGCTGCCTTCCGCATCACATCCACTGGGAACAGCTCCTACATACAAAACAGAGCAGCAGCAGCATCAGTAACTGATCCAGAGATGAACTTTCCTTTAGATCGTTCAGTGAGGGAAGTAGGATGTTTGCATTTGGGAGAGTGCAGGGATTCTCTTAACTTAATATGCCTACTTGTCTCACAGTGGTGTAAATTAAGATGTGCTCTGTGAAAATTGTTTTTCTGGCATTAAAAAGTTTATTATCTATAGAACTACCTTGGTTTTATGTCCAAATCTTTGTTCAATTTTTTTAAAAAAAGACATCTACAAGATGATCAGGATGCTTTCTATGAAACAAGTCATCCATTATCAGTTCTCTCACTTGTAGGAAAAGCTACTAAGTGACACTGATCAATTAGGACTATAAAGAGATGAAAATAAGGGTCACTGCACAAGCATTTGTTGGTCTATCTATCTACAAGGATAATGCCTACCTTCTGGTCCCACTCTGCCATATTTGGAGCCATCTCCCGAGCAGCAAAGTCAAAGGCCACTTTCTGAAATTCTTTCTGCTCTTCATTAAGTCCCATGGAAGCTGTGGGCAGGATTGAATATGTTCAATTCTAGGAGAGCAGTGAGGGAAGAGTACTGCAAAGAAGCACCATGAGGCTGAGATGGTGGACCTATTATAGCATTTCCCATACACAGCACAGCCTTTAACAGCAAGAGAATGGCATCTTCAATCTTTAATCTGTTTCTGAGATGGAGAAGGGTTCTAACACATACCCAGATCAACCTGGTACAGTATATGGGACTTTCCAGACATCTCCTACCCTAGACACTTACTAAAATACAGTTGCAGCCCTGGAGGTAGAGGCGACAGTGCTAAAACTCTGGTCACAATGCTAAAGAGCACTAAAGGAAAACTATGGAGCCACACTTGACAATAATTACTTCAGTGCCTTCTAGTGATGCAAAGTCCTTCCAAGAGAACACAAGTGCAGGTGGCAGAGCTGGTTCCTCTGGAGCAAACCTGAGCATTAGTAATGTCCAACAGTGTGAGCCAACACTTCTGTCTGTGATCAGTACTCTCATTAAATGGGAAATTCAGAAATGAATAGTCAGGATTAAAAATTAGGCGACCTTGAGAAGCTCAGTAGAAACCTCTGTTGGGTATTACTCTTAGGGATAATGTTAGGGATAAAAAATTAACGTTTTTCTAGCCATCAGATCATTTATTCACACACTCTTGCTGCTGTAGATCATAGCTCAAAGATCATTCACAAAAGAATATTTATTGAGTCTTTACTATGTAGCAATGCTGGGGTTACAAAGATGTATATGGTCCATTCACACCAAGGACAATATAAACATATAATGCAAACAGAAGCACTACAGAATTCCAATCCTAGTAAAAGCTCCATACATGTTAAGAGTTCTTCTGTAAATGGATACTTCCTAAAACAAGTAGTTCAAGGAACTAAAGGTTTAAGAAATAAATTTGAATTGCATTCTAAATAAATAACAGGGAATATATAAATGACATGCATAAGTAAATACAACATAATTACTTTTAGACAGATAACAAATACAGTCAATTCCAGAAAAGGGAATGGTTAACAAAAGGAGAGTATTGCTTGGAGAAAAAAGTGGAAGAGGTAAGTTAAAAAGTAAACTATACAAAAAAAAAAAAAAAAAAGGCAAATTAAATACAGGAAAGTATGGTGACTAAGTAAAAATACCTAAGTTCCCAAAAGAAATACACTATACAAACAAACACCAGGCCACATGAACTTTTGTCAGAGTTACTGACAGAGTTCAAGATAGGCAACACACTATAAAAGGTAAAGCTAAATAGAAAAGCAGCCCAAATGAAATAAGGAAAACCTTTATTGTACAGCAACTCAAGTGGAAGATGAAAAGAAAAAAATGAAGAACAAAAAAACCTCTAAATAATTCCTTATCTGCTTTGGTATCAACCAATGTGACCTTGTTTACCAAATTCTAAATGCTAGAACAAGGCAGCACCTCTTGAAGGAGTTTTAGGACGTTGAGCAGAAAATAGTATTCTATACCTCAGTGTACTTTATAGATCTAGTGTCAATCTAAGGGATTTATTCTGCTATAAAGAAAACTGTTATTTATTTAAAATAAATTAAAAAGTGGTTAGGTGCTTGACAGACAAGTCACAAACTGGCTGCAATCACTTAGTCCCGCGAGGTCCCCGACAACCCCTACTACATTCAAATTGTTTGCCTCTTGGCTAAAAGCATGCAGGTTTGCAATCTGCAGTAGTTTCCACTTCCTGCACGAGTTTCGACAGTGTTTTGCAGCTATACGTGTTGAGTTATAAAATCTATATACGCGAGCAAATCTGGTATTACCTTGGAGCTTTTGTTCGTCTATCACCACCAGCACCCAGTTTTTTACATTCCCACTACCTTTATGACCTATTGATATGATTTTAAAAACCAATCAACCAACAAAAAGTCATAAGTTTCTGCACTTCTCTAAGCATCCGAGGGTGACAGGACAGAGGGGAAGCGCAGAGGGGGGAGAACAGAGCGGGGAGACCGCGGCCCCTGGCGGATGCCCCGCACTCCCAGGGCTGGCCTTACGATCGATGCAGGAGGTCAAGCTCCGGTGGACAGGAGCCTGGATCCCGCCGCGCAGGCAGCCCAGGTGCGCCCCGAGTCGCCGGCAGCCGCTCGCCAGCATCGCAGCGCTTCTGCACCAGCCAAGCTCTGGGCCCCTGCGCCCACTGCTGCACTCGTGTTGGCCCGGACTGTGGCCCCCGCCGCACCCTGGGGATTGTAGTCTACACACAGGCCTCTCTGCCCGGCTCCTAGGCAGGCGCCAAGGCGCCGGGACTACAACTCCCAGAGAACCCCGGGACCGGCGCGCCAGAGGCACGTCTTCAACCCAGCGCCGCACGTCTTCAACCCAGTGCCGCACGCCTCTGTCGCTTCGAAGGGGCAGAGTGGTGCGGCCTTCGTAGCGTGCGGATGAGAGGAGGCTCCAAAACAAACCAAGCAGTTTAGGGGAAGTTTGTGCGAGATGGAAATGGCGTAGATTATGGAGGGGAAGATTTGTGAGGCTTAAGCACAGTCGTCTCTGTTCTTTGCAAAAGTCTGAGGCTTTCTAGGATTCTTCTCATTGCCTCCATCTTGCTCTGCGTAGGTTTCTTGGTGGTAGCAGCTTTGATTCTCGTATCTGTCGGTTGATTCCAGAATCCTCTGCACTTCAGCCCCTTGCTGGAATACCATGCCCAGACCCCAGAAGAGGCTGGCCGGGACTGCTGGCCCAGGTGAGCTGCACCTAGGCTGCAGAAAGGCAGCCCCATAAGAACTAGGGCCTGTTTAATACTGTTAATTTTCTACTCTGTGCTTGTGGGAAGAATCCTTTGTGATTTATTTTACTCCATCATCCCTTATCGCCCTCTGTATCTTTACTTTTACCACCAAGCTTTTATCCAGAGGCTCTTCTGCTTGTTTGTTCATTCAAGTAACCGCTATTTGTTAAGCACAAAGAATATTTGCAGTACAGGGTGGCATGTACTAAGGTAAGATTTCCCAGTTCTCAGGGTAAATGCAAACAGATTTAAGTGACACCGTCCAGGAAGCTGGATTGTTATGGGTGTGAGAGGAGGGAGTAATCACAGGGAAGGCCTTGAGAAGGACGTGGAATTTGAGTCTAGCCTTGAAAAATGGGAAGGCTTTCCACAGGCAAAGCTTTAGTACTGAGAAAAAGTGATGTCATTTTTATATTCACAAGGATGAATGGCATTCTTAAATGCAGAGCAAGAACAAAGCAATGGAAGATAGAGAAAGCTCTTTGGGGAATGGCAAGAGTTCCAGATTGTAGTTATTTAACAACACATGGTGTTGCAGTGTGCATGTTAACTCTTAGGGAACCATTAGGAAATTCAGCTAGCAAGGTATGGTGGGATCAGAGCATTAGATATCCATAAATAATATTTAAAGACAGTTGATGCTGGCACTTACTATAATGCCAAGCATTGTTTAAGATCTTTGTATTATTTCATTTAATCTTCAAAACAGCTCCAAGTAGGTGCTCAGTTTCCGCACTGGAGAAAACAGCCTGAGCAAAGGCATAGAGAATGAGGGAAGGAAAGTATTTACTGCCTACTGCCAGGCCCTTTAATCCTAAACAACCATGTAAATTGCTCTTATCCCAGTGAAGAAACAATCCAGAAGACCTCCTGTAAGGTAGGCATTCTTGTCTAATTTTTATAAATAAGAAACTGAAATTTCTTTAAGATAACATTAAGGTGCTACATACAGCTAGTAATTGATGGATCCAGGATTTGAGTCCGAGTCTGACTCTAAAGCATAAGCTTTTTCCACAGTGGAACATTACTTCTCGGCACGCATGATAAATCTTTTCTTTTTGCTTCTCTCATTTCAGACAAGAAGGGGCTACCGGGAAAACGTGCCAAAACTGAGGATGCAGGTGAAATATCAGCTAAAGTGGAGAACTCCAGCCTTCAGAAGATTTCAGCCTCTAAAGACTCTGTGAAGAAGCTAAGCAGCTACTGGCTGATGAAGTCAGAGCCAGAGAGCCGATTAGAGAAAGGTGTAGATGTGAAGGTGAGACCATGTACCTGTCTCCAGTCCCTTCGTGCTGTTTTTTTTAAATAAGTGCATATGGAACACCATAGGGTTCCAACACCAGCTTCTCATCTTTGAAGGGTAGGAAAAGGGTAAAAGTTAATAAAATCAGCAGGATGTATTACAATCAACTATCTGTTTTTGTGAATCCTCTATCTAGAGCAGGCGTCCTCAAACTGCGGCCCGCAGGTCACATGCAGCCACCGAGGACATTTATCTGGCCCACCGGGTGTTTTTGCCGCTGCTACCTGTCCTACTTATTAGCAGCCATCCCGGGCCCACAGTGCGCATGTGGGGAATGTGCGCCGCACTCTCTAACGGCCCTCCAACGGTCTGAGGGACAGTGAACTGGTCCCCTGTAGAGCAAGGGTCAGCAAACTTATTCTTCAAAGGGCCAGGCAGTAAATATTATATGCTGGTGGGTCTTATGGTCTCTGTTGCAACTCTGCTCTTGTAGCAAGAAAGTGGCCATAGGCAGTGTGTTAACAAATAGGTATGGTTGTGTTTAAGTAAAACTTCATTTATGAGATCAGGCATGGAGGTAAATTTGGCCTGATAATTTGCCAACCCCAATCTTAGGTTGCCTTTCTCTTAACACTTTCCATGCTTCTAGGTGTCTTCCTGCCAATGATTGGTATACATTAAGGGAATGAATATAAACCAATTTTAGTATAACCTGGGGAAAATGTAAGTAGAAATATTACAGAATATACTTTAACAAGTGAAAAGCATGTAATCAGAAGATTACTTTATCAATCTGGATTATCCATTCAACTAATCCTCTTAATTGGCAAGGATAATAAGATAACAAGGCTTACTTGTATTCATCCAACAGAAATGGCTCAGTGGAGCTGCTTCCCAGTGAACTACACATACTTCCACTGCAGCCAGTAGCACCTCTCAATGTAGGGGAGGGACCTGTCTGCTTCCATATATGCTTACCAACTGGCTAAGGATTCTTTAATGAATGACTTTATTTCTTCTTGCCTAGTTTGGCATTGAGGATCTCAAAGCACAGCCTAAGCAGACAACATGCTGGGATGGTGTTCGCAACTACCAGGTAAGAGGATTAGGAACAGGACCCCTGAGACCCAAGGGATATGCCTGCCTCCTACTTATGACTTACTTAATAGCAGCACCTCTTGGCCAAGATTGCCTGTTCCCAGAACGTAAACCTGAAAATATATTTTAAAAAAAACATCTAATTATTCTGACTACATACATGAAATTTGCAGTTGGGCTGTGTTCTGGCCAGTGTCCTGGTATAAATATGGGTATCTTGGAAAAGAGAACAACTTTCTTATGAATTAAAGAGAAGCTGCACATAAGAAAAACCCATCTTAACAAAGCAGACTTGATTTCTGCTAAAAGGCTAGTCCTTTCCAGGTGGTGAGGAGGATCATTCTTATTTCTTTTCCTCTGGGATAGGCTCGGAACTTCCTTAGGGCCATGAAGCTGGAAGAAGCAGCTTTCTTCTACCATAGCAACTGCAAAGAGCCAGGTATCGCAGGACTTATGAAGGTAGGTTAGACAGGTTTTGATCTGAATTCCTTTCCATCTAGAGACTGACTCATGCAGATATAAAGTGATACAGCTTAAGTGGGTAACAAAAAAGTACCCCCGCTCCCTATACCCCATTGTAGGAACAGGGAAAAACTGCCCTGGTCCTTTCTTGTACAACAAGGACTTAAACAAAACAGGCCTTCATTTCAGGTCCAGCTAGCAAAGACTTATCTCCATGTCCGAGCCTTGGTCTCATTCAAAAACAGGCCTGATGGTAGTTCTTCCAACCTAAGAATTTTCAGGATAAAATTATACAGGTAGAAAAAAACCAATGGTACCAGTAATAACCTTTACCATTTGATTTTAGAATGTGCTTCTAAGACTTGTAAAAACAGGGTTGATTTCCTAATTGTGCTTCCCTTAAACTGTGTATTATTTCCATATATCTATGTATCTGAGCCCTCATTGGCTCTACAGCAAAGCAGATGGGTAAGAACATGCAGGGTAAGAAATGAAAGTTAGAGGTTGATTAAAGATTGGCTGTGGAGCTGACTGTGTAGGCACATGATTGGAGACTTTGGTTTTGGTTTCAGATTGTGAAGGAGGCTTACCCAGACCACACACAGTTTGAGAAAAACAATCCCCATTATGATCCATCCAGCAAAGAGGATGACCCCAAATGGTCCATGGTAAGACTATTCTTTCTGTTTCATGAGAGGGGAAGGATGGACAAAGGGAGGTAGAGGATCTGGGGTGATTTAAGGTCAAGATATACCACCTAGCTCTTAACTCAGATGAGGTTACGCTAACTTTGGAGATAAGAACAGAACATTGGCAACTCTGCACAGGAACCTCCTGCAAGCAGTTAAAAACCCAGTGGGCAGAGTCTGGTTGGACATGTCTTTCTGTCATGTACACTGTTGTCATATAGGTGGATGTACAGTTTGTTCGGATGATGAAGCGTTTCATCCCCTTGGCTGAGCTCAAAACCTATCATCAAGCTCACAAAGCTACTGGTGGCCCCTTAAAAAATATGACTCTTTTCACTCGCCAGAGACTCTCAATTCAGCCACTGACCCAAGGTAAGAGTGGGTCTTTTACCTCATCACCCACACACCAGAATGACCCCATGAATTCCCATTTACTAGCTGAATAAATATGAGTATGGTATTTTAACCTGAGTCAGTGTCTTCACCTGTAACATCCATAAGGGGTGGGGGGTGGGGGGATATTCACAAGTATCCATTACTGTGTACCCAGTACTCGACAGTGCCTGGCACTTGGTAAGAAACTCCATAGGTTTTTTGAAGGATTGACTGCCTGCCTCAGTATCATGTAAAGTACCTGTGCCTGGCATAACTTCCCTGTTCAAGAGGAGACATAAGACCTAATTCTCCCTTCCCTTCCTTTTCCCCCTTTTTGGTAGAAGAGTTTGACTTTATTTTGAGCCTGGAGGAAAAGGAACCAAGTTAACTGAGACACTGTTGCTGGAATGGGCAAGACATTACTCCAAAGTCGTCAAGCTTTAAGACAAAAGAAGGTGTGAGGCGGCTTGCTTGTTATGTTTACCTGGCCTTGTGTACATAGGTGGGTTTGTGTACTTTTTTCAATAAAACATTAACATCAAAGTTGAAAGCTTTTCTTCTAGAACCACATTGGGTGCAATGGATTATTCCACCACAGATGTCTTCCCTCAGGCTGGCCCCTTCTGCTGCAGCACAAGATGCAGGGTATCTTTCCTGTTTCATATGTAGCAGGATGTAGGGCTAAGACTGGGTGTGGTGACACTGAGTCTTTCTACACCAGCCTTCCTCACCTACCCTTGAAGTCATCTGGGTCTCAACGGAGGTTTAAACCATCCTATGAGCAGTTTCAGGACAAGTTGACAGGGGTAAAACCTGAATTCACTTCTCAGCCATGTACGTGACTAAAACAGGTGGTTAATAAAGTGCTCACCATTGTTCACCAGGGATCGAACACATAGAGTAAAGGTGCTGTCTTGGGAGTCAAGGTGGATGTCTCTCTTTCTCTGATGTCAGAGGTGGGGTGGTGTAGACGGAGGAGAGCACAGAACCTGGTGGACCAGGGGCACAATGCCCCCACAGCCACAGGGGCTTCCTTTAATCAGAGACCAATAAAACAAGTGTTCTTTGAAAATACAGCCATTGAAAAGACGACACGTTAAGAAACATGTAAACACTGCAGCTGCTTAATTACAAGTTGCACTGCTAGGTTTAGTACCTATACGCTCCCAGGTTTGGGGACCTTGCGGGTGGGGACAGGAGCCTCCCCTCACTTTCATAGTTGGACAGAGGTGGTGAGAATAGGGAGAGTGTAAAAGAAAACAGAAGACCTGGCTTGTGCGCAGCGCCTGAGAGAATCAAAGCAAATTCTATCTTCTAGTTCTCCCAGAAGAAAGGTTTAAGATATTAGGAAAGTTGGAAAATGAATTTGTGTTGTCAGTTGGGAGGCTGAGGAATTGACAAATGCTTCTAGTTAGAATACCAGCTATTTAAAGGAGGCACACCAGAGCCTAATCTCATGCTCTGAAAAAGGCAAGGCACCCGAACCTGCCTCATACACTTAAGCCCCAACTTTGATAATCCAAGGGCAGCTGGATGGGTGATCCTGTTCCATGGGGATTGTGTGTCACACTCAGTTCTGCTGCCCCCAGTCAACCGCACATCATGCCAAATACCTTTCCCTCCAGTCTCAGCTCTGATCCATGAGCCCTGCCCAGTCAAAGGCCCAAGACTGTGGATTTCTGAGGAAAAATGGAGTCCCGTTTCCCACACTAACTGAAAAGTGACACAGGAACCAGCACCGCTACCTTCCAAATTACTAAGAGTCCAGACCGCCAAATATTGTATTAGTTGGCCAGAGGGTTCCTTGGTCTTCTTATAAAGGGAAGGGAAGCCAATAGGAGAATAATTCCTGTCATTTTCAGATGAGGCAGAAAAGGACAACAAACACCTTTCCTACTACAGGCCTGAGCACAGAGCAAGAGGGAGAACTTCCCTCTTCTCTAGCATGACAAGAATATCCACCAGAGTTTTTATATGTGTTTTTAAACAAAAAATACCAATGGTCCTAAACCTGGGTCAGTTGGCGAGGATGAGGATGTAATTTGGCAAGCATAATTATTCTCAAATTGTGGTAGCAGAGTCTTCTGAGGCCCTCATTGTCCCCCCTTAACACATAGGGAGAGGGCTGAAGGGGCTCAGAGTGGTAGTAAGAACAAAATTTCCAAGTGTTTAAAACCAACCCCCGATTCCTAGAAACTAAGTGGAGGGCAGGGAGAGACGAGGTCCACTCTCAGGGAGGCAAAGGGGTCAAGGCCCCTTCCTAGGATCTCTTCTTAAAGGAAACAGACCCTCTTGCTGAGGGCTTGTTGGGCACATAGAGCAACACCCTAGAACAACCCAGACCTCAGGGTGGCCAGTGGAATCATGTGGTGAAGGCAGATAGTTGCCATGATCTTCCTCAGAGGGCTGGGCTCAGCCTCCTGGGTTCACTGCTGCCATCCATGCATGATACTGACCATGCATGGGCTTCTCTGTGCCCAAGGCCCTTCTACAGGCTTCTCTTCAGGATGTTTTTGACAATCCAGAGAAGATGGAGAAGGGAGGTATCTGGCTCCCAGCAGTAAGAGGCCAGGAAGAAAGTGGCCTATGGAAACTTCAGAGCACCACATCCAAGACTCCCAAAGAGGTAGCTTCCTGATCTCGAGTCTTATCCCTGCCATTTAGGACGGGGCAGGCCCAACTCCTGCCACTACCTCAGGGACTGTAGAGGGGAGTACAAGACATGACCACTCAGGCCCTGTTGGCAGCTCAGAATCCCAGGGACATGCTCAGGTCCTATAATTCCAGGAAATTCAGAAAACCCAGAGCCAAGGGTGTGTGCCGTCGACTCTCCTGTAAGACGCGAAGCAGCCCGGCAAGAAGGGCTGCAACAGAAGGCTCTTTTTCCCCCTGAGAGAGACTAGCTTCCAGGATGCTACCGCTCCCTATCCCCACATCAGCCACAGAATCCCAAGGAGACTGCTTCCCAACCCAAGCCCGTTAGGTTCTTCAGAAAAAAGAATTTAAGTCAAAAACATGATTTGTTTTCAGGTTGCAAGTAACGGGTCGGCTGAGCCTCACGTGGCCCTCCCCCCAACCCGCCGCTGGTGTCTGGTGGATGGGGGTGCCGTGGTGGAAGCCCAGCAGCTTCTTGGCCCTGGGGGCCTACTGCCTGCAGTTGTTGTCAGACAGCTGGCTGGGGGTCCGCACCTCACCCAGGGAGGTTGTGCCCTCGAAGCGCTGGGAGGCGATGGCTGCCTGGTGGGACATGCTCTTCCGTACGATGTCCCCTTTCCGCCATAACACCACTTCCTGTAGAATTAGGAGAGGGGGCAACATGACACTGAGAGGGAGGTGTGGGAATGGGCATTCCAGGGGCTCCCAGCTTTGTCCTGGGAAATCTTGGGCAAAGGTCTCATCTGCTTATCTCTATCAAAGGCAGCAGCTGCCAGTATCTCCCGGTCCCTGGTGTGGGCCAGAAGAGCAGGTGTCGCAGAAGTTAGGCCTGAGACAGCAAACTCTAGGTACCAAGTGGGGACGTTCACTCTTGCTGTGGGATGCTGGGCAATCTAATGTTTCCACCTCTTGGTACAGTAACAGGTGCCCTACATACTTAAACTGTCTCCCCTGTACCATTCTGCTTCCACAGGAATGTTGGCCTTCCCGTTCTGTCCCTACAGTATCCAGGAGCTAGGAGATGCCTGTGCCTCACCTGCTGCTTGAAGTAGCGCCGCTCCTCCTCATCTATCAGCACCAGGTTGAGGTAATAGCGCACAGAGAACTTCTTGTTGATGTCCCGCATGGTGGGCGTGAGCTCGTACCCTGCCAGGAAGAGCCGGATCGGGATAGACTCTCCTGTAAGGGGTGAGGCAAGAATCCGAGCTAAGAGCAAAGTGACCCACTTGGCCTTAACACCAAGTTAGTCTCTGGCAACAGCAGAGATCCTATCCTGAGTGTGGCACGGAGCACTAAAGAAAATGCTTTTGGGAAGTTGCACTGTTGTCCGGCAGTTTGCTAAAGCAAAAATGTTGACTCTCTAATTCCATTCCAGGTCTTGTTACAGCTTCCAAATGTCCTCTCCAAAGCAGAGAGCAATGAGAAGCAAATGAGTGGGAATAGCACGGAGAGATTATTATTAAACATCTCTTGATTACATGTAGTGTGTCTGCTTATTGGGCTTCCAAGAGGCAGTAGTCAAAGCCTAGCTAACTTGCCATGTCACCTACCAATTTCAGTGTCACTGCCCTCCATCCCAATTAGTGTATGCCCCCAAAATATATCCCTACTCTAATATGGACTGGCAGGTGGTGTGGTGGTCTGGAAAACAATTGGGCCTCATTTTGGCCCCTGTTCTCCATTAACCAGTTGTGTGACTTCTGAGAGTGATTCTGTCGCTTTCTCTGACCCTTTCTCATGTGGAAGATTACAGAATCAGGCTGTAATATTTTAGGTCCCTTCCAGCTCTAACATCCTGTCTTTCCTAGTATAAGTGGAACAAGCTTAGAGCAGTAATTCTACTGGGAAAGGCCAAAGCTATAATGTAGTCTAAAGCTAAATATAAATGTTCTTTTAATTATCTGCTGTTTTGTATTGTTTCTCAGTGCCCCATTTCATTAGAGGAAAAATGACCATTGGCTCTACTTGTACAGCTGGTGAAAAATGGGACATCAGAGAGTGGGGAGAACCTGGCCCCGACCTTCCAAGGGCCTCACAAGGTGAGACCCAGGAATCTGCTGGGAGTGTCCCCAGTGTCCCCACTATGACACCGCTCCTTCCACATGGGACAGACTGTGGGAACTGACAGAAGAACACCTTGGGAACACCAATCACTTCAAAGTGAAAAGAGACATTTTTCATCACCAGTTGCTATAGTCAGTGAAGAATGTAAATGACCACTCCTTCCAAATAATCACACAGGTTCGCTAAATAACAAAGTGCTCTCAACTCCACTCATTCCACATGTAATGTCAGCTCCATGCAGGTGGGGGAGGACTGCTTCCATTGAGTTCCCAGTGCTAGCTGTAGAGCCTGGTAATGTTGGCCAGAGTATCTAGTAGTGCTCTTTCATAGTTGCTGAATGAATTAAGAGATCAAATAATTTTACTAGAGCTAAAGTAACTAAGTAACAAAAATGACTACTCACTCCTTAGCCCCAAAGAATGTCAGAATATCAATAAGGATTGTAGTAAAATGTTCAAACTATATCTGCTAAATGAGTACTATTCAAACATTTTTTGTTTTTTAACAGACATAACTCTTGAGATTAAATCCTTTTCTTTTGTAGAACAGGGTCTCAATCTGTTGGCAGGGTAGAGTCCAGAGGTGTCATCACAGCCCACTGCAACCTCCAAGTCCTGGGCTCAAGTGATCTGCCAGTCTCAGCCTCCTGAGTAGCTGGGTCTACTCATGCCACCACATCCAGCTAATTCTCCTATTTTTTTGTAGAGACGAGGTCTCACTACATTTCTTGGGCTGGTCTCGAACTTCTGACCTCAAGAGATCCTCCTGCCTCAGCCTCCCAAAGTGCTAGGATTACAGGTGTGAGCCACCATGCCCAGCAAGATTAAATCTCAAGTACAAGCCCAATACATAAATGAGGTCAAAATGGAACTTTTCTGGGTGAGGATGAGGTAGGAGCCTGAAGTTCTACATACTCAGCCTTCCTTTTCTTCCTTATTGGCACCCATAGTGCATAATGAGAGATTAAGAAATTACAAGTTAATAGGACATCTTACAGTGAGATCCCTCAAACTCTACTAAAATTCTGTGCAGAGACTGGGAGAAAAGGTGTGGCTGGGGCCTCGGCCAGGAGGCTTACCTCGCACTGGTGCCCCGTCCATGATCTCGTACTTGGCTATAGTGTCATTCTCGTGGTACACGTTGGGGCCTGTGCCCGTCGTTTCCCGCTTGATGATGTCTATTTCCATGTGCTTGATTTTGATTCTCACCAGCAGGAAGTATATCTTCCCTACAATGACATCTTTCAAGTGGTATCTGGGAAACAGAAAGTAAAGGAAGTAAGATGCTAGAGCAGTGGCTGGCCCTTTTTGTTTCAGTAGAGTACACTGCCATCGTCATAACGTGTTGGTTAAAGTTACAGCTCCAGTGCACACCTGCCCATCTTCCCGCCTGCAGTGCTGTGGTGGAATGTGTTTCCAATGTGTCTTTACTTGAATTTAAGTGACTTCCATCCCTTCCACTGTTCCACATCCAATGCAAATGACTTTCCTACATGATACCTCAATTGTTCATATTTGTTCATCTGCTCTCTCTCCTCACCATGTAGCTTTCTTTTGAACCTTTTGTGTTTGTATATGTATTTGTTTATTCATTTATTTATTTATTTCGAGACAGAGTCTCGCTCTGCTGCCCGGGCTAGAGTGCCATGGCATCATCATAGCTCACAGCAACCTCAAACTCTGGGGTGCAAGCGATCCTCCCACCTCAGCCTCCTGAGTAGCTGGGACTATAGGCACTTGCTGCCATGCCTGGCTAATTTTTGTTTGTTTCTATTTTTAGTTGCCCAGCTAATTTTTTCTATTTCTAGTAGAGACAGGGTCTCGCTGTTGCTCAGGCTGGTTTCAAACTCCTCACCTCAAGCGATCCTCCTGCCTCCCACAGTGCTAGGATTACAGGCGTGAGCCACCATGTTTTTTAGATATTCTCATGTGTGAGAGGTCAGTCCCATAAATGCAGGAACTAGTCTCTCTCTTCCTCTTGAATTTCCATATGTGTTTTTGGAACTGGGCCTTGATGGCTCACATCACACATGTCTGTCTGCTCTGGGCTGCACAGGCCAAGCAGGAGCAGTAGAGCAAGAAGAGCAAATCACTCTCTGCATCAGTGCCTGCTCTCTAGGCTCCCTCATTTGTCATATGAGAAACTGAGGTACAAAAACATTAATATCTACTAACCGTAGCCCAACTTCTTGACCTGATTCCAAGTCCCAGGTTGGAACACAGAAATGGGCAATTTCACAGAGTACCCTGTTGTGCAAGGAAAGGCACAATCTGGAAGGTCCAACCCCTGCCTCCCTAAAGTGCCTTTTTCCCACCTAGCTCTGGTCTGGCATGCACTGTGGGGCAGTGGCTTTTTTCAGCTCTTACAGGTAGCAGTGCTGCCAGCCTCTGCCCTTTTACTTTTGGATATTTGATTTCCAAACATTTTCAGGAATGTATCATATTCAAAAGAAAGATGCTTTTCAAACTGTCAGAAAGTTTTGTGATTTATAAGCAGTTAAATATTTTGATGTTCTAACAGTAAACACCATTTAAAACATACACATTTTCCCAACTTGCCAGTTAAAGTTATTTTAAGACTTTTATAAAAATACATCAGGTATTCTTTGCTACAATTTATTTTAGTTTAGGGAGGAAGCAACAAACTATAGCCAGTGTTTGGTTTCCTCATTTTGATTTCTAAAGACATATATGGAGGAAACAAATGATAACAGAATGGCATTCTGAGATTATTCTTATCACTAGAAGGAAATAGCTGAACCTGAATCCAAAACAAATAACTTTCAAGTTAGTGTAGCCTGACATGGAAAGGCATCAAAGGATGTTTAACTTAAGCATACCACCTTAATTTAATATAATTTCACTTAAGCAAATGAAGTTTTATTTTTTGGTCAGCCTACCTGTAGGTATCCTAACACACATATTCACTGTATTATTTCTGCAGTCTTCTCCCCATAGTATGTCCCCATGAAGCAATTTAGTCATAGGGCTCTATAATTTGCATTCGGGTCAAGATCTCTCTTAACCTCATTAAATAATAATTCCATAGTCTTGGGAACTGGGACACTTACTTGGATTTATTATACTCAAACTCAATGTGCAGACAGTCCTCAATTCCAACCTCCATCTTGATAGAGGAGTTCAGCTCCGGATATGTGCTGAGTGTATGAACTACAATGTCCATCTCTTTGACGACATCATTGAGGCGGCGGCTGATGGTGGCTCGAAGGAAATAGCTGTAGGAGATGGAGTTGTCATGAATAAATACTCCTGGTTTCCAGATGCTACCTAGCTATAGGAACCAAAATGGTCCACTTGAGAGAACCCCTTACAAGGTTCTTAACCTCTTAGGGCTTTGTATCCCTTTGAGAATTTATAGACCTTGCTCCCGGAAAAAATGCACATATGCAACCTATACATTGCAACTATAATTGTAGGGAGTTCAAAGACCCTGCCCCCAAATCACTTTTTGGAGCCCATGCCTCCAGATTAAGAACCCTGCTCCAAGTAAAAGTGATTGCTCTGCTCTGTACCCCAATAGTGTGTTATACTTAGACCCTTCATAGCCCTTACTACTATCTACCATGTATTTGTGTACAAGTTTTATTTATTTAGCTAACTCCTGGCTTTTGAACACAGGGATATGTCTCATATTCTTATATTTGCACACTTGTTCATTTCAGAATAATCAATCAATAAACCTTTCTTATGTCCTTCACGGTTAAAAGAGAGGAATGGGGAATGGAGAAATTAAGTCAACTATTCATTCAGCAAACATTTACCAAGCTAAGCACTGTGCATAGAATGAATTAGATACAGTCTCACAACCCACTGGGGGAAATGGGCAAATAAACAAAAAAATTAGGACACATGGGAAGGACTGATTCAGACACTGTGGTCCAGTGCTATGGGACAGAGAAAAGGGAATTCTAGGAAAAGCAAACCTTACATGCAATAGACAAAGAGAGTAGCTGGTCTATTAGAATAACAAGTCTCTGGCTGAACCTAGGGTCCTTGGGGAGCAGGTTGCCATGGTAGGGGACACGTTATTAATAGAAAGAAAACAGACACACAACCCCCGAAGTGGTTTAATAACCCTGACCTCTGTGGCCAGCCAGTTCAGCACTCCCTTTCCCCAGTATCCCTGTCCCCTTGACTCAACACTGTGTTAATATCTAATGGAGAGAAAGCCCTTTAATTATATTTTCTTCTTAATAAAACTTGGATAATCCCCACCACCTGTGATGTATTACTAGAGAAAGTTAAAAAGATATGCTAACCATATCAACTATACATGTGGCACTGACTCTTACAATCCTTCCTGTCCTCAGCAACTTCCATCACATTGCTCAAGACATCTATCCCTAACATTTTTCTAATTGCTCTACAGCTCTCAGGGGCTTGTCTGTGGAGGACACTGCTCTTTACTCTGAGATGAATTATAACTCTCTCCCTTCTCTGCTTTGTCTGCTGCTTACTGAGGGCCTAAACATGTCTCTGCCTCATCACCCATCCTCTTTCCAACAGCACCTCTGACTCTCAAGACCTTTTCTTCTCCCTCATCTGGCAGAAGGACTCTCATATGGATGCACATTAGAATCACCTGGGGGTGGAGGCGCTAAAAATCCTGCTGCCTAGGCACATCTGATATGTAATTGCTCAGGAGAGGGACACAGGCATTTGCATTTTTAAAAGCTTCCCAGTGATTCTAATGTGGGAGCCTTGGTCCAGCATGTTGATCCTTCTACTTTTCTGATTTTCCCGATCATCAATCTCTCTCTACCTCAAGGCTTCTTCCTTTGAGTTTATAAAAAGGTCCAAAAAGTCAATCCCCCAAATCCTCTTCAGGCCTTTCACTCTTGACTTACCCAATCCTTTCCTTTTCTTTCTTCAGAGACTGCTGTCACAAGACAGGACCTGTACTGCCTGCTGCAGCTCCTGCACCAGCCACTACTTCCAGCCCCTTGCTTCTCTCTCCATGCCCAGACAGAAACCTCTCCTGAAGGGAACCCGTGGCCTCCCAGTGGCCAAATCCAGTGTTGTGTGAAACACCTCCTCTTTCCCCTCCTCCTCCTGGTTCCCCGTGGGTCCTGGCTCTTCTCCAGAGCCCCTCTCCTTGAAAAAGCGTTATCAGTTATTACCTCTGAGCAGATGATTCCTGATTGTGCATTTCTTAGTTTCCCCTCTGTCCTCAGTGCCAGGCTTGCATTTCCAATTGTCCAGTGAATTTCTACACTTCTTTATTTTGCCAGTACTTCAACCTCCTCTCTAAAAATAGGATGAGCCATCTTATCTCCAAAATACTTCTTCCTCCCGATGGCCCTCTCTCTCCACCTCCGTGGCTGCAGCCTCTACTCATTGGCAAACTCCTTGCTTCTGCCTGTTCCCATTGTGCCCACCAAAGTAGAACTCTGAGGACCTCATACTGGCCTTCTGAAAGTTTGTCTCCACACTCTTCCCATCCATCAAATGCTACATATTGACTTTAATCTTCCAAAAGAATCATTCCCCTGCCTAAAAACAAAGAAGAAAAAAAAGGCCAAAAACTCTTTTCATGTTTTCCCTCCACCTGTGTAATAAGATACAAGTTCTTAATCTGGAATTTACATCTTCTGTGACCTGTCCTTGGCCAGGAGCAGTGGCTCACACCTGTAATCCCAGCACTCTGGGAGGCCAAGGCAGGAGGATCGCTTGAGGCCAGGAGTTCCAGACCAGCCTGAACAACAGAAGAGATGCTATCTCTACAAAAAATTTAGAGGAAAAAATAGTAACTGGGTATGGTGGCACGTGCCTATTATCCCGGCACTTTTGGAGGCCGAGGTGCGAGGATTGCTTATGGCCAGGAATTCAAGACCAGCCTGGCTACATAATAAGACTCCATCTCTACAAAAAATAAATTAGCTGGGTATGGTGGTTTGTGACTGTAGTCCCAGCTACATGGGAGGCTGAGGCAGGAGTATCGCTTGAACCCAGGAGTTTGAGGCTGCAATGAGTTATGATCATGCCACAGTATTACAGCCTGGGCGACAGAGTGAAGACCCTGTCTCGAACAACAGTAACAATGACGACAACAACAAAAATAGAAAAAAATAAACTATCCTCAACTAATTTTCGCATCTTTACCTCCTTGCTTTCTCAACATGAATACTCAAATCTTCATCTAATTTGGACAGTAATGCCTTTTTTTCTTTTTTTATTGTGGTAAAATACACATAACATAAAATTTACCATTTTAACCATTTTTAAGGGTACAGTTCAGTGGCATTAAATACATTCACATGTCTGTGCAACCATCACTACCACCCACCTCCAGAACTTCTCCATCCTCCCCAAACGAAACTGCACTGATTTAGCACTAAATCCCCATTTCCCACTTCTCCAGGTGCGGGCAACCTCCTCTCTACTTTCTGTCTCTATGAATCTGATTACTCTACGTACCTCATATAAGTGGAATCATACAGCATTTGTCCTTTTGTGACTGGCTCATTTCACATCCATAATGTCCTTAAGGCTCATCCATATTGTAGTATGTGACAGCATTTCCTTCCTTTTTATAGCTGTATAATAGTCCACTGTGTATATATACCACATTTTGTTTACCCATTCATCCATTTATGGACACTTAGGTTACTTTCACCTTTGGTTATTGTAAATAAAGCTGCTATGAACATGGGTGTACAAGTATCTACTTGAGACCCTGCTTTGAAATCTTTCGGATATATAGCCAGAAGTAGAATTGCTGGATCATATATGGTAATTCTATGTTTAATTTTTTGAGGAACTCTCATACTGTTTTCAACACCTTTCTTTCTGACATAAAAAACACTTAAAACAAATCCACTGCAAAAAAGAAAAAGAAAAGATTAAATAATAAATCCCAGTCGAGCTTAAGTGACGACTAGATAACCCTCACGGTTGCTGCCCTCTGTGAGTGCAATCATGAAACACTGTCTTAGTGGGGTAATGTCACTGCTTAGACCTCTCTGCAAAGATTAAAAAGAAGAGGCTATAAACACTCTTCTGATGGAAGACGGGAGACCAGGAGAAAGAAGGGAGGTGAAGGTCTTGCTGCAGTCTACACCATCCTAAACTTAGGCCTTCAGTGGATGAAACAAGCTGATCTTATGAGACAGTATCAAGACCCAGAATCAGGTATTCTGAGTGAAAGAGGAGTCTGCTTGATGCCAGTGACATCACATAATCCTGAGGCTGCATCTAAGAGTCTATAGCTGCTGTGAATTTTTCTCAGTCCAGAGACCCAGGCACCAGTCCCTATCTTCAGTTTCTAACACCAGAACAGTAAAAACAATCCCATGTGCTTATAATGTGTTCATTAATGTTTTAAGAGCTTGTCATACTGTGTTACATTTTATTTTCTTATCACCCCCAGAAGGAGGAGAGGACAGATCTAGAATTAAAATCCAAATCTATCACCCATTTTTCAAGTGAGAAGGCTGAGGTGCAGAGCTCAAGATCACACTGCGGGGCCAACTCAGTTATAAAAACCAACTGCTAAATTTTCAGGAATTTCATGAATTGGCTGTTTAACACAGCAATTATTTAAAGTTAAATTATATAAACTTACAATTATATGAATTATGTTAAAAACAAAAGTAATATATACTAAAAACCCATTGCTTCCCAATATTTTCCTATGCTTTATAATGCTTTCTGTTCTTCAGGGAATATACATTTGGTGTCCCCATATGATGGTAATGCTATGTAAAGGTGGCTACTGCACATCTCCCCCCACCTCTGCATTTAGGGACATCAGGTTGATAGCTTGAAATTGGCTGTGGTGTAGAAACCGACAAACTCTACAAACCAGGCAGCGTTCCTTCCAGAGAGCCCATTGTTACCAGCACACCACAGCTCATAATACTCTTCCTTCTCACTAGCCATATAAAGATCCTCAGAAACCTCAGGTCCTTGTCTATGTGGGGCAGGTTCTGGGGCACAGTGAGGAAGTAGTAGGCACAACTTACCGTAGCTTCACATTCTGCCCTGTGTAGGACTCATACGGCTTCTCCACGTGGGTAAACTCAAAGTCGAAGGCCTGCGACTGGGTGATCTCTCCAGGCCGGGCCAAGTCCTTCACCAGGGACACAAATTCATGGTGGTTCCCACGGTCGTAGTAGAGTTCTGGAGAGAGAGCAATGCCCTCCTCTATCAGATCCTGAGCTACATGGGGCCTGGGGAGGGAGCTCCAGGCTGGAGGTACCTCTCTTCTGAAGGACCTCTTCCCAAAACAGACCCCTTCTAGCCTTGGTTTGCTGACCCCCTTCCAAAGACTCTTTTCTGTAATGAAATCTCATGGCACAAAAAGAACCCACATAACCCTGCTCTAGGGTGTCAGGACAGTGTCTCTTAGTAAGGAGTAAGTCACGGCACCAATGTCACAAAGGCCACATTTCTTTAAACAGCTTTTCAACATTTCTAACTTTTGAAAGGATAAGTACAATTTACTTAATATTATCCTTATCATCTTGTAAGACAGCTGGGACAGACCTTATCACCATTTAGCAGATAAGGAAACTGAGGCATAGTGTGCTATGACTGGCTTGGCATCACTGACTTGGTTGCAGAGCTAGACTAGAGCAGGTCTCCTCCTAGACTGCATCTGTTTCTATGACCTGGTATCATGAGGGTAATAACACAGCCCAGTGCATAAGGCTGTGCGAGAGGTAGCAGGGCTAATGTAGGTAAAAGATTTAGGATAGTAACTAGTAGGGAAGAAGTACTCAATAAATATAGCTGCTAGCTTCTGCTATCACTCAAAAAGGAGGGCATGATGCCAACCTGACGTGGACATTTTAATGTTATTCCCTCCATCTAAATCAGTGGTTCTCAAACTTCAGTGTGCATCAGAATCACCTGGAGGGCTGGTTAACACAGACTGCTGGCCCCCCATTTCTGATATTTTTGATTCAGGAGGTCTGGGGTAGGGCCTGAGTATTTACATTTCTAACAGGAAATGCAAACAAGCACCTCGCGGGTGCTGGTACCACACTTTGAGAAGCATTGCTTTAAATTCATCCTCTTCAAGAAACAGTCCTGCTATTCATTCCTTCCTTCCTTCCTTCCTTTTTTTTTTAAGAGACAAGGTCTCACTCTGTTGCCCAGACACCCCACCCAGACTCGACTCCTGGGTTCAAGTGATCCTCTCATCTCAGCCTCCAAAGTAGCTGGGACTGCAGGGGTGCACCACTAGACCCAGTTAATTTTTAATTTTTTAAAACTTTTATAGAGACAAGGCCTTGCTATGTTGCCTAGGCTGTGGTATTTCTTTGTAAGTTCACACCACCCATTTGTCCTATGTTATTTTATGTCTGTATTCTGCTACTTAAGTTGTACCATATATACATGGTCTTTCTTTTCCATTTTGACTATATCCTCAGCTCCCTGGTACTCCCTAACACCTGGCTCTGCAGTCGTGATCTCTTAATGCTGACTGTGACTAGACGTGGCCACATCACAGTACCACTCCTCAGGTATTTCTGGGTTCAAGTCCTGTGCTAGGCTGCAACTGAAAGCAAGGCAGCTGAACGGGGAAAACGGAGCAGGCAGAGTACACTCGCTGCTTCTGTGGTTTGCTGCTTGGGGAGAAGGAGATCAGTCCACAGAAAAGGGTCTCTGGGACAACTGCCCACTAGGCCCGGTTCTTGGCATCTCCAGGACACAGAGGGTGAGCTCTCTCAGAGATAACCCAAGCATTAATGGCAGTGGGGGAGAGCTGCTCTGGGTCCTCCCTGGACAGCACAAGATCTGAGCCAAGATTAGTATCAAAGCCTTCTTGGGCCCAAGAAACCAGATCTCTTGCCTCCACAGAGCCAACACAATGTTCATCCCTGCCCTAGGGGAAGAATCATTTCCAGAAAGAAAAAAAAATGGTTTTAGGTGGTTCTTTTCAGTCTGAGAGCAAAATCCACCCCCTTGCTGGTCTAGCAGCTGCCCCTGACAGGGGAGCATTCTGAAGCAGAGTGGACACTGTCATAAGATTTACCCAACTTGGCCAGGCATGGTGGCTCATGCCTGTAATCCTAGCACATTGGGAGGCTGAGGCAGGAGGATCCCTTGAGGCCAAGAATTCAAGACTGGCCTGAACAACAGCAAGACCTCCCCAAAAAAGGCCAGGTGCGGTGGCTCATGCCTGTAATCCTAGCACTCTGGGAGGCCGAGGCGGGCGGATCACTCGAGGTCAGGAGTTCAAGACCAGCTTGAGCAAGAGCTAGATCCCGTCTCTACTAAAAATAGAAACAAATTAATTGGCCAAGTAAAAATATATATAGAGAAAAAATCAGCCGGGCATGGTGGCACATGCCTGTAGTCCCAGGTGCTTGGGAGGCTGAGACAGAAGGATCACTCGAACCCAGCAGTTTGAGGTTGCTGTGAGCTAGGCTGACGCTACGGCATTCTAGCCTGGGCAACAGAGTGAGACTCTGACTTAAAAAAAAAAAAAATATCCAACTCATGAAGATGGCCGTAGCGTAGATAACCCCACACTAGTGATGCCACTTCCATATGAATTCAGTGTATTCTGTGGTTATAGTTTGTGGCTCATTTCCTATGTAGTTACACGTCAATCAATCTTTTATTACAAACAATCTACCTTCTCTGGTTTCAGCAGTGAGCAGTACTCTAGGTAGTAAGTGATAACCCACAAAGCCACTAAATAGGAGATGACAACTCCAAATGACGGGGGATAGCGGGGGAGGGGTAGGTGAGCAATCCAGTAAGTGTGCCCCTCAATAAAAGTAAGGAAGTGCAGGAATAGAGTGGGAACAGAGCAGTGGCCAGCCCCAGTGACAGGGACTCTTTTGCTTACTTCTGCTACATGAGCCCTGGTTGGTGGTGTTGGCTCCCATGTGGAAGCTGAACCCTTAACTTGGGAACCTAGTCCCTCAGCTCCTAAGCACTAGACTCACCACAGTTCCAGGGACAGAAGCAGACAGAGCCAAGACCTCAAGGTCCATGAGCTAAGTGGGAAATTCCAGAGTCAAGAGTAAGATGGGAAGAGAAGGATGGAAAAATACACAAATGTGAGAACACAGCCCAAAGGCAACATGAGAAATAAACAAAACAGAAAAGGCTCAGAGAGTGCTCAGGTTGCCAGCATTCATGGATCCTAGCAACCCAGAAAGGGACATGGGGTAGAAGTCCTTCCCTGCAGAGCATCACATTCTCCCTAGTCCCTCTGCTCCTGGACACAAAGTACTATCAGCTCCTACCTCAAATGTCATGGAAGAGTGGCCAGTGTGTGGTCTGAGCAGGGCTAGACTGGCCTTTTTAACCTGTAATTTAGAAGCCATTTGCAATGCTTCTGCAAACATTGTAGGGCAAAGGAGCAGAAACAATAGTACTTTCCTATTTGCCAGAAAGTGTGGTTTCCTCTTGCATAAATTAAAACAGAAACTCTAAGGTTGTTCTCACAAGAGGTTTGGGCCCTAAAGAGACTATAAAATGCCTCTATTCCATCTCAAAGAAACAACCACAAGTCACCCCTCATTCTTCCCAACCACCAAAGTCCTCAGAGACCAGACATTTTGGGCTAGAAGTAGGAACTAAGTTGTTTGTTAAGGTAACTACCCTGTCTTTAGTTTCCTTCTCAGTCCAACAGGAGGAAATAACTTTTGTACTCAGGATGTTTTCATGGTGAAACTTGCCACCAACTGTTGAGAAGTGAATTTGCCACTTTGGAAAGAAAATGAGCCAGTTTTGCACTATAGATCATCCTGTGACGGACACGCTGGGGGTCACTGCAGGGACAGGATCATGTTTAATCCACGCTTCATGCTGGTCTTAGAAGAAACATAACTCAGCAAGGGCAAAAAGCCCTCTAAACAGCCTCCTCTTCATCTGATTTTTCCCAGCCATGTTTGTTGGCTGGCAACCCAGGCAAGATTCGTGCCAGCCACACCCCACAGCCATCTCCTGGCCCCGGTAAACCTGAGGAGCAGTAGCACCTCCAGGCCACCTGTGCCCAGCCAGACGTGGCTTGGCTCCAGACCCTGCTAGCAGCTTGGTAAATGGGCTGCAATCAATCCATTTAATCTTAATGTGCCTTTTACTTAGTATTTCAAGGGTTAATGAATTGAAATACAGAAAGCCTCTGGAGTCTTTATAAGTACAGGCCTGACTGGTACTGATGGGCTTATTACAAACTTAAAAAAAAAAAATCTAGATAATGTCTATTGGCTTTGGAGTGCAGGGATGTTCCCATCTGCCCTGCTCTGCAAGTTTCTAATTATGTTTGGTTCTTTTTAACCCCATTGGTCTCCCAGGTGACCCAAGTCTACCTTCCATTCTCTACCAGTGTTCCCCAAAGGTGTCCAGCTGCACAATGGCCCCTCCTCACAAACACAGTTCTTCGCTCAGTGCTCCTTACAGACTACTGCATCTTTGTAAAGATGTGAGCCTTACCTGCAAGGTGACAAGGTCTATCCTACGGACCTGGCCCGGGAGATGCCCTCACCACGTCTGTGCTGGCAGTGTTAGAACACAAACCAAGTCATCAGAAAAAGTATGCTAGGTGCAGGAGGATCCCAGTGCAGCCTCAAAAACTTAGAGAGGGTAACAGAAAAACATGCACGACATAAATGAATAAATAAGACCCATACCCTCAGCGGGCAACATACAAACTGCAATATCTGAGCAGTTGGTGCAGTACCAGATGGACCACAGGTCTGACAACTCGTATTTTCTTATGTACAGGAAGAAATCAGCCTCAACTTGGCATAGGATAGTGTGATGAGAGAAAGACGCAAGAGCTTGTGAGCTGACATTAGCTTCAACACTCCTCTATCCCAGGCCGCTCAGTGAGGGTGCTGCTCCAGCAGGGCACACCATGAGTCACACAAGTTTTCAGCAGCCTCTGCTAAGGGATGCACCTCACTCATTGATGCCTCCTCCACAAGCACAAGCAGAAAGCCCAGACACTTAAAGGTAACCAGCAAAGCAAACCTGCACTCTCCCTTTCTTTCATTAAAATAACTCACTTATCTAGGAGGAGATGAGAAAAAAAAATCTCAAGAATAGTTTCTGTCAATTCTTAGATCTGACAAATGTATCTAGTTAACAGATATTTATTGGGCACCTTCTATATGCTATCTAGCCACTAAGACGAGATTAGCCTCTACACTAATGATGAAATGAAGGCAGTCCTTGGTTTCCAGGTCTCTGAATTTAGTAAGGCAGACAGACAAATTAAAAAAAAAAAAAAAAGAGTCACAACCCTGTCATATTCTGCTTGAAGAGAGATTAGTGAGGCTTCTGGAAGGTCATTGGAGGAAGCACTGAGGTTAGCCTGGGGAAGTCAGGGAAGGCTTGCTGATTGGTGTGGGTGTTTGCTGGGCTTTGAGGAAGGAGTTAAGAGTTTGGGTTGAAGGTAATACCTTGCAGAAAGATGTTGCCATACAAAGGGAATATACGAAGATTCCAGAAGAAATAGGATATTTTGAGGAAGCCACAAGTGGTGTGGGTGAAGGGCTAGGGCGGAGATGAGGCAGGGACCAACTCCGGAAGGATTTGGATGTGTTTTTCCACTTTAAATAGTGGGAGTCAAGAAGAATTTTAAGGAGGGGACTGATAATGTTAGGACTGTCTTTTAGTTAGTTCATTTTTACAGAAGATGACCTGAAAGGAAAGGGAAACAAAGGCAGGAAGACTAGTCAGGAGGCTACTAAACATAGAAATAATAAAGGCAGTAACATCGAGAATGAGCAGCAGATCCCGATTTAAGATATATTACAGAGCTATTAGAGAATCAAAACTTAGAAGCCAACTGGATGCATGGGAGGGGGAGTGAAGAGCCTGAGATGACTCCTAGATTTCTGAGGCTGAGTGGACCCAGGTGACATAGGCCAAAATGGAGAAATCAGGAGAAGTAGCAGGAATGGGGCTGGGGCAGGGGCAGAGAGAGAGAGAGAGAGAAGGCAGGGTTTCTGTTGGGATGTGTCTCTGAGGCACCCATTGGGTATCCAAGTGGACATGTCTAGTAGGCATCTGGAAAGACAGGTGTGAAACTCAGAAGAGAATACCAGTCAAGACAAAGAAACTGTGGGAGTCATCAGAATATAAGATGACACTGAAGTCATGGGTGCAGAGGAGATGCCCAGAGCAAGTTACAGTGAGAGGAGACAAGGGGCAAAGGTTACACCTCTGCTTGCCTCCAAACCAACGAGGAAGGGGGACAGAGCTCAGTGATGTCCACCTTCTTACCCCCACAGGTCGGCCATACAGCCATACCTCAGAACCAGACCCAAGTTCCACCCACTTCATTCATAGTCAAAGAGTGCAATGAAGGAGAAAACCACACAACCGCAACTTCAGCAAAGTTACTCACTCGTCTCGCTCTGGTGCCCTGAGGTCAGTTCACAATGACTGTCTTAGGTTTATGACACAGATACTTCACATGCTGCTTCTTTGGGGGAACCAGGAGGATAAAATAGGAGGAATTTAAGAGCTTCAGAAAAGTCACTTTGTGCCTCCACATAGGCTGGTACCATCTTTACTTATCTGTCGATGTATGTACTTTAGGAACACAAACTCCCTTTATATCAAACATATCTAGAAAGGTTATTTTAACACCTTGTTCTTGATCAATAAATACATCCACAAACTAAATAATAAGAAACATATTGTCCATCATTCTGTATTATTCTCTTACTATGTCATGTAACCACAGATAATTGAGGGTGAGCTTTAAGTACGCATCTGGAATTGGCTCTATCTGCAGAACCAGGTGTGCCTGGTCCCTGTGGCTGAAGAGACTTAAGGCATAGTGCTGAGACACACACTCCCTGTAAGTAAGCATGGCAATCTTATTGTGGGGTGGAGTGTAAGAGGTACGGGAGAAGAGCAGTAAGCCAGTGATTGATAACTGAATTTATGAAGTGGAAACATCACTACATCAACTACTATAATTTTATAAAAGGACCTTCTATCAATAAGGGGCATGAAGTAGGATCCCCTTACATGCCCAACATTCTCACTAGGTGATTTTATTATCCTTGCTTGACAGCTGAGAAAACTGAGGCCCAGAGAGGGACCTAACTTCCCCAAAGTCTCATGGTCAACTCAGCTCAGAATGCCCAGAGCCCCAGAAAGAATTACTAGTGGAAGCAACAAAAGTTTCTGAGAAAATTCAGCATGGATGATGTCTTGGGATTAAGGAGTTAACCAAGAAACCAGGCAGGGGAGGAACAGCAAGTAGCCTCCTCAACTACCTTTCATTTGGATTAGAGGGAAGCCTGGACACCGATCCTCTCAGAACAGCTCATTTCATATTGTCTGGGGCAGGGAACATTCTGGGTCATCTTTCATATATTGGCAAGGTACCACCACCTGAGAATGAAGGTACAGACACAGACTAATGTCTACACTGGTATTATGGAGTCAAAGAATCAATGCAATAACTTTAAAACTACTATTTAAAAACACCATTTCTCAGCAGGCATGGATTTCTTTATTTTTAATAATTTTAACCCTAATCCCATGACAGGCAAAGATTTCTTGACTATTTCATATATTACTCTGAGCATAAAATGCTTTGGTTTCATCCTGTCTACCATATAGTACTTTACTACAGATGATTTTACACTCCGGGGGACATACGGCAATATTGCAAGACATTTTTGTGGTCGCAAGCGGGAGATGCTACTGGTATCTGGTCCGTTGAAGCCAGGGATGCTGCTAAACACCCTATGACAACAAAACATTATCAGGCCCCAGATGTCATCAGTGCTGCTGTTGAGAAACCCTGCCATCAAAGACAGACACAGGAAAGTAGAGGCATGAATTCACTCTTCAGCTCCTGTTCTGGTACAGTAACAAGTCTCTCATATTCTGGTTTTAAAATAACATAAAAAGGTCTCTATAGGATCAGCCAGTGTTCAACCTAATCTCATTTTCTTAAATACCAGGGCAAAATGCTTAAGGCTGAGCAGTGGACTGCAGAACCAGGCCACCAGTACTCCTTTTGCCCGGGTTCCTCCTACCTGTGCCTCAGTGTTTCCTGGCTCTGTGAAAAGAGCAAAAAAGAGAACAAAAATTCTTTCCTAAATCCTCAGGACAGGGGAGTTTAACAAGCTTCCCCAAAGAAGTCTCTAAAAACATTGTTATACAGGCAGTATGTGGTAAAGGGTATGGAATCTCCACCAGAGGTGTTTGCAACCCAGAGAGTATTTACTGTGAATCTACTCCTGACCTAATGACAAAAACAATTTGTTTTAGAAGTGCCTGAGCATTTTAATAACACACAAGACTCCAAATAGTCCTAGAGTTGGAAACAACCCAGTCTTGACCAGCAGCTCCCCAAATCTTCATTACTGCTTTTTACTGTTTAGTTCTCATGGTTAATAGTGTTTGGAGACTGTTAGAGCATTGAGAAATTCTGACCACTTAATTGTGGTTTCAGAAACATCATTCTTTGTCTTTAAGGAGAAAATTAGACAACTGAAAACTCGGATTCAATAAAAAAGTTTGAGAAATGCAGGCTAGGTAAGCAGTGAGACTGGGACTGAAAATTACAGGTCTTCTTTCTCAAAGTATGTACAAGGATAGGTAGTTTCAGAGCTGAGGCGAGATAAGAGTACTGGTGAGCTCCCTCTTCCACATCACTTCTATAGAGAGAAGGGGGTGGGTGGAGGTGCAGGGAGGTGGGCTCGCAGGACCAGCTTAACTCTGGTCTGACAGCTGTACATGGCCAGTCCATGGGAAAGCCAGTATTGGGAGGTCTCCCCTGACAAACCCACCTGCATGCTATGGTGGAGCACCTCACTTTGAAACCCTGAGTGCAAGAAGAACAGCTGAGAGCATGCTGAAGAGACAGGGGTACCCAGAGGCAGCGTCGGGACAGGCACAGCAGGGCGCTCCCTCCCGCGCACGGTCTCCCCACCTCTCTGGCAGTGCACTGTCACTTCTGGCAGGGAGGACAGTAAGGCAGGGGGAGTCACCCACCAGCGGGACTTGTTTCTGAGCCCCAGGCCTCAGGCTGCAGTTGACAAGCGACTGTGCCAGGCCTCGCCGGAGCTGGGCCCTGAATCACGCTGCTCCCCGCCCGCCTCCCAGCCCTGGCCGGGCAGACGACGCTGGGGAGAGAGGTCCCGGGGTTCGACTCACCGATCTGCCCGATGAACTCGATCTTGATGCCCTGGTGCTCCAGGCGCTTGTTGGGGTTCTTGAGCGCAAGGCTCACCTTCCCGGAGACCGTCTCCCCGTCGTAGAAGAGGAAATATTTCTCCTTCTTCCCGTCCTCCGTCTTGTGCTCGGCTCGCTTCCTACTCTCCGCATCGTTCAGAAGGATTTCCACCTCCACGCTCTGCCCGAAGCCGAAGAAGCTCATCTCACCGCCGGGCCGGGCCGGTCTCGGCAGGGACCGCTCCCTTCCACCCGGGCGCGGGCTGCCCTAAGGGAAGGCAGGCCGGAGGGCCGATGCGGGAGCGCGCTCGGCGGCCGCACCGCAGCCGGGCTCGCCGCTGCAGCCGGGCGGTGGGCGGCGACCGACAGCCCCGCTCCACGGGGGAGGGGCAGGGCCGGGGGAGGCAGGCGGCTGCGGGCTGCAGCGCCCGGAGCAGCAAAGCGCCGAGGAGCAGTGCGCCGCGCCGAGCCGCCCGAGCCGCCAGTGGCAGTGAACGGGCGAGGGCCGGCTGTGCTAGCTGTGGAGGCGGCCGCGCAGAGCCGGGTGTGCGTGGCTTGCGCCCACCAGGTGGGGTCCAGCGCAGAGCCGCGCAGCCAGCTGCCCAGCCTCCCGCGCAACGCACCCAGGTGCTTCCGAGGCGCCGGGCGGGGGAGGGGGAGGGGAGCTCCAGCCCGGATGCACTGGATATGCGCCGCGCATGCGCACGCTTCTTTCTGGCTTGGGCCTCCCAGCCGCCAGGGGGTGTGCTCACTGCGCATGAGCAGGGGAGGCCTGTCTCTCCCTCAGTTGATATGGCAGCCACAGCGTCTTTCCGGTGGAATCTGGGCCTAGACGACCCGTAAAATCAAAAGAACTGCAGCTGTCTTCTTGGAATGCTTTTGTTTGCTTTTCCCGTGTCGAGTTACGTTGGGCTACCTTCCACATTCGGTTATGTACAACGTTCACGTGCTGACGGGCGAAGGTAGTCCTGTGACCCGCACACGAAATGTCGCCTGACGGGGGCAAAGGTGACAGTTATTACAGGAAGTACCCTGTCTCACATAGTCTTTACATTTCCTGCATTTAAGAAAAACAAGGCGGGAAAGACGCTATTAGGCTTTAGCTTAGGTCCTGGCTCCTACTTTAACGGGAAAGCTGAGAAAATCGACCAGACGAACCTTGTAGAGCCCCCAGTCCTCAGCCCGCCCCTTCCTCTGCGCATGTGGCGCACGACGCAGCTGATTGGTTAATACAATGAAAACAGTTCGGCACGGTGACTGGCCTGTCGGAAATTCTGCTCGTTGTGATTGGTCCGCAGGAACGTCTCGGAGCGCGCGCGGGAGCGAGCTTTGAAAGTTGAGCTTTGCGGAGGCGAGCCGGTGCCTAGGGGAACATGGTGGCGTTGCCGGGCCTTGGGAGCGGCCTGCAGCCCTGGTGCCAGTTGGATCTCAGTCTCGGTGAGAAGCAGCCGCGAGGCCGGGGTACAGACTTGGGCTGCTTTGCGTCCCCGCCTGTACCTTAGCCCGGGGCTGGCCGGAGTGCGGGTGGGGGTGGGAGCGGGGCCAGGGCTCTCGGCAGGGCCTGGGGTCCCCGGAGCTGTGCAGTGCTAGGATAGTGGCCAGCCGGTTTACCGCAGGGACTCAACCCAGTCACGTAACCGTTAAAAAAAAGTTAATGTTGGCCAGTCTCTTCTAGTGCTCGTGCATATGTTTTCTCGGCCTTCGCCGCCTTATTCTGCAAATCTTCGTGAATGTACATATTCTGATCTATTCTGGTGGTTTTAAATTGCAAATCTCTTTCTTGCCAAACTTATTTCTTGAACTTCATGTTCATAGGTTCAGCTGGATGTCTGACAGGCAGACATCATCAAATGTCACATGAATGAAACTGGGATTCCCAGAGCCACCTAATGGCACTAGCCAAGCCACCAACCTGGAAGTCAGGGCATTCATGCGTCCCTTTTCATGCCCACCACCACCGATTTTCCTGCTTCAGAGATGTCTCATGTCCTCCCACTCCATTTCTGATGCTGTGACCCGAGCGCAAGCCTTCATTATAGCCAATAACCTGAGCAACTGTGGGAGTGTCGTAGCTGCTTCCCCCAGCCCATCCCCCACACCTCTGCAGGACCACTTTTGAAAACACAACTTTAAATGTGTCAAATCTTTAAACCTTTAATGTTACCCCTTCATTTCCTAAACAAATGACCAGATCCTTGGCATGACTTAAAAGAGCCTTCACCATTCTCTTCAGTATGCTTTTCCAAGAGCATAACTGTTTTGAGTCAGAAATGATTGGATTGGTTTCTTGACTCTACCACATTGCAACCAGGTATTACTGGGCAAGTTGCTTAACCTTACTAAGCCTCAGTTTCCTTATCTGTTAAATGGGGATTATAATACTGATGTCCCAGGGTTTTTGTGAAGATCAACTTGGTACCTGGCACATAGTAACTGCTAAATACCTACTAATTCCCTCCCTCTACAGTCACACTCTATGTTGTAGCTGTTTTGTTCATTTCTAAATACTTTATACTTTATTTTCCTTTGTGCGTGGTTATGCTATGCTCTCTGGGGTATGCTTTTCTGCATTTCTTTCCCTCGCACACTCCTACATTCAAGTCCACCTGAAGAAACATCTAACCCACCTCTATCCCTCCTCCTTCCCCAGTAATATTTCCTATTAAACTCTTCTAGCATTTTACGTTTTGCAAACCTATTTCCATTTTAACAACTTGAAAATAATAACTATCATTCAGTGAGTGTCTTTTATGTGGCTAGCACATTGTTAAACCCTCTATACACATTATCTTTCACAGCAATCCTGTATTCTCATTAATGAAGAGGAGGCTAATTACACATAAGCAAACAAGTCAGGATATTCACCTTGTTCTGATCAAAACTCTATGGTCTTCTATCACAGGTTGATTTTTTTGGTATTATAAGTGTGAGATGGTGAGATCTTTGTGGACAAGAATCCTCTAGCATTCATCTCTCTATTCTTAGCACATATAGTGGCTTTCCGTAGTATTTTCTCAAATTGTTTCTTGAGTGAGTAAATGATATGTTTCTTCTCCTCTTCAATCCTAAGTGAAGTTCTAGAGCAGAAATTATCTGTGTTTGACAGCTGAGAAAATAGATAGTGAGGGATTTGTTTTGAATAGTGTAAAAATATTGAAGAAAATAATCAAACTCAGTTTTTCCTATACTCACTCAACAATCAGCACAGAAGATTTCTATGACCAAATGGCTGATATCAGGGCCAGTTACTGCCTTCTAAATTAGATCTGATGCTACTGACAGTAGGTAGCTATTGTAGACAAAGCCAAAATAAGGACTGAGAAAACTTTTGCTATAGTCTATAATGAGCTTTAAACATTGCTGGAAATATGGAGAGATTCAGTTGTATTTTTCATGTTTTCTTTAAGGCAGCATATCGCATATCTTTGGAAGGAATACTGTGCAGAGCCACTTGGGTTACAGAGACTTCCTCCTCCAGGACCAAGCTCAAGTGACAAAAGATGATAGACAGATTGTATAAGACTTTTCATTCGCTGAGTGCCACATAACGTTCAGAGCGGTGAAAGAGAGGCTGAGGCCATGTGACTCTGTTTGTCTTTATTTATACCCTGCCCAACTTCTCTAAATCAATGGTGAACAAATATTTTAAAAATTACTGATTTGAAGGAGCACCTCATTAATAATTTGAGATGTCCCCATGTTTCTGTCTAGTACTAATTTTAGGCTTGGGGAAATAACAGTGAAAACATTAAATATAATTTGTGAGAAAAGTATGAGGTTTAAAGGTAAGAGATTGTCAAAGAGTGTAACTATATGCTGTCTTACTGTGACCTTCTCACAACATACATTCTTCTCATCAGTGTATTATGTATGAAGTCACTGGTATCTCTATGAGTATGAATCTGGCTTAAACTTCTTGGGGAAATCATCTGTCTTTTAGCATGCTACATTATTGTCCAAGGGCCCAATAAAGTGTACTGTGCACTTAATGTGAGCTTATTAACATGGTTAGGAGAATTTCACAGAGGAGCATCTGAGGCAATCTGCTTAACCTCTTTTCTCTAGATTAAACGTGGGAAAGCCAAATCATTAAGTGTTTTGGAGTATCATTCACCGAAACTGTTATATCTTAAATGTGTTTTATTTCTTTTTTGTGTTTTGTTTTGTTTTTTTGAGACAGAGTCTCACTTTGTTACCCAGGCTAGAGTGAGTGCCATGGCGTCAGCCTAGGTCACAGCAACCTCAAACTCCTGGGCTCAAGTGATTCTGCTGCCTCCACCTCCCGAGTAGCTGGGACTACAGGCATGCGCCACCATGCCCGGCTAATTTTTTCTATATATATTAGTTGGCCAATTAATTTCTTTCTGTTTATAGTAGAGACGGGGTCTCGCTCTTGCTCAGGCTGGTTTCGAACTCCTGACTTTGAGCAATCTGCCCGCCTCTGCCTCCCAGAGAGCTAGGATTACAGGCGTGAGCTACCATGCCTGGCCTGTTTTATTTCTTGATATTTTTTGAAAATAGTTAACCTAATAGCCAGCTGTCAGTTATGATTTAAAAGAAAAAAATTCTCTTAACCTTTTCTGCTTGCCTTTAATTATGCTACATTATACGTTAAATGTGAGTTGTGACTAATAAGCTTTTCTCCTCTTGAATGTACCTGGAGTCTAAAGGTAATTGATTTTTTTACTTGTTATAGAGCACTTACTGATTGCATTGTATTTTCCCCTAGAATGGGTAGACACAGTGTGGGAACTGGATTTCACGGAGACTGAGCCTTTGGATCCCAGCATAGAGTCAGAGATTATAGAGACTGGATTGAGTGCATTCACAAAACTCTATGAAAGCCTTTTCCCCTTTGCTACTGAAGAACATGGATCTACGGAGGTAAGAAAATAAAAAAATCTAGCTAACTTGAGGTGTTAAAAATGAAGATGAAAATCATTATTATAATCTAAAGCTTAGCTTTTTTAGTATACAATTTATAGGGAGTCCAATGTGAGTAACATAAAAAATGTCATTCATTTATTGGACTATCATAATAGCTTTCCAAAAGGTTCAAGGTACTCATCTGATTTTTTTCCCAAGACATGACCACTTTTTTATAAGAGCAAATTAAAGGAAAAGTATAAAGGCAAAAACAAAAAAACCAGAGAAACCAAAAATGGAAAGAAGTCCAAGAAAAATGCAAATAACAATTCAAGCATACCTTAACTTTAAGAGAGTCTGATATTAGTAAACTGAGGAATGATTAGTTGAATTACAAACAGATTTATTGGAAGAGTTCCTTTAAATATTGAGTTCTACCTAATATGCTTATTAATATTTAGATCATTACTTCTAAAAAGAACCAAAGGGCTGAGAGGCAGAGCAAAAAATACTTAGATATTAGCATCTCTGAAACACTTAAATTAACAAAAAACATTTCAGTTACAAGTTTCACATAGCTGTTTAAAGATTAAATCATCTAATTAAACACTCCTTCAACATAATGCTAAGTAAGCACTGCATTAAGTACCTTAGTGGAAAAAGTGAGGATTAAGATACGCAGCCTCTCCCTAGGTCAGGGGCCTTCCCAGGGAAGAAGAGTGGACACTTGAGTGCTGGCAAAAGTGAGTCCATCAACCACATGAAGCTGTAGGGAGTAGGCAAGTACAGTGCCACTGTGAGTCTTAGGGGCCTGGAAATATTCTGTGAAACATATTGTAAAAAATAAATGCTCCAGGCCAGGCACGGTGGCTCACGCTTGTAATCTTAGCACTCTGGGAGGCCGAGGTGGGCGGATTGCTCAAGGTCAGGAGTTCAAACCCAGCCTGAGCGAGACCCCGTCTCTACTATAAAAATAGAAAGAAGTCAATTGGCCAACTAATATATATATATAAAAAATTAGCCGGGCATGGTGGCTCGTGCCTGTAGTCCCAGCAACTCAGGAGGCTGAGGCAGTAGGATTGCTTGAGCCCAGGAGTTTGAGGTTGCTGTGAGCTAGGCTGATGCCATGGCACTCACTCTAGCCTAGGCAAGAAAGCGAGACTCTGTCTCAAAAAAAAAAAAATGCTCCAAGAGAGGTGGAGATATCATCTAATAGGGATGTGGAAAAGGGAGCACCATAGGATTAGGAAGGTTCCAGAAAGAAAGTAGCTAGTGGTGAGTCTTCACAGATGGGTAGCGTATTGACTAGCAGAAGTTAGGATTGTAGAGGTTTCTAGTGTAGGAGCTACATGATGGGAATATGCACGGAATATTGAGGGAACGTGAGTGGTGTGGGTGAATGGCACACAGAATTCTTAAAACGTGGGGTGGGACATAGGATGGTAAGGTAGACTGAAGATAGGTCTGGGAGCTTTAAATGAGGGTGAACTGTGGATTTGGAACGTTTTTAATAGGGTGTTTGTTTATGAGGCTCTCTTGTAAGCATCATGCATATGTTAACTCATCTAATCCTTACAATCAGCCCTGTGTGGAAGAGGCTACAGTGAGCAATAGACTAAGTAATGTGAATAAATCTGTTTTAGGGTGAATGTTCTTGACCAAGGTGGGAAAAATATGTACAAGAGAGATCCCTTGAGAGACTTATATTGTGATGTGGGTGTTATGAGCATCAGTGGCATGGTCTGGAGTTACGGTTGTGGGAATTCGAAAGGAAGGCTAAAAAACTAGGGACATTTTTTGCGGTAGAATTAATGTGGCTTTGTTAACTAGGAAGCCCTTGTCAGGTAGTTCCAACATGCTGCAGAGTGCTAAATTGACTTGGTATAGTGAGTGAGAGGAAGAAAGAAACTTTCTGAAACTAGGAAGATGATGACATTGTTGATCAAGGTCAAGTGGAAATTGAGTTCCATTGTAGATTTTTGAATATGAGGTTCTGTTAGGAGATCCTTGGGAGGCATAGTAGGTAGCTAGAAATAAAGATTGGAAGATCAGTAGAGAGGGAAGAGTCCTGCGAATCAAGGTAGATGTCGGAATGCTGTGACTCATGAGGTCGCCTAGAGAGAGAAGAAAACAACAGAAACAGCTGGTTGAAAGAGGCCTGAGGAGGAGCAGTCAGAAGGCAGGGTGATCACTGGTTCTCTGACCGCAGCTGTGGGATCACAGAGCCTAGGTGACTGAACAGGTTCAGGGTGACCTCCAAGATGAGTGGAATGGAGGTGCAGATGGTTTTTGGAATGAGAATGTGATACTGTGATGGTAGGAGGTGATTTCTTCCAGAAGTTTCCTAGGAAAGGAAATGGCAGAAAGAACTTTCAGTGGTCTCTCTCTAAGATGGCATGTGCTAAGCAGTGGGGCTAATCTGAAGCATTGGCTACCACTTCACCTGCCTTTTCCAGGAAACAGGAAGTACAAGGGCCAATTGTTTAACTGTATTGGATCTTGTTTTATTTAAGATACAGTACTCACAGATAAATCATATTTAGTTCCTGCTGTGTTTAGTTTATTATAATAACTCACTTCCTCTTCAAGTGTTTAAAAGGAGAAAGCATGGGACAATGGTAAAATTAATAAAATTATGGTTTCTATACTAGGGTTTTGTCTCCTTTCTCACCTAGGCTCCTGATGAAATGTATTGAGGGAGAAGCAGCAGATGTTTCCTTTCCTGCTCCCATTGCCCACAATCTGCACAACATTTATATTTAAATAAATTGTTCTGATTTCCTTAGTAATAAATGATAAATGGATTTGGGTACATTTAATCTAGATGGAGAAGTAACTTTTCTAAGCAGTCACTAATATACGGTGTCCCGAAAATCTTAGTGTAGTTTTGAGCTATAATAATTTCAGAAGTGTATGTGCTTCAAACTTACCAAAAAATTCTTTTTAAAAAATTACTTAAATTTCTTGTGTACTTATTTATCTTTGTAATTTTGAATAATAATAGGCTTAATGTTTTCAGTCTCTTTAAAGATGGTACATTTATCATTAAGAGCCAGACTGGTCTATGCCTCTTTTTGTAAGGCAATAAGTACTTGTAAGATGCAAATAGTAGCAGAACTTTCTAATTATTGGCTTTTGTGGTTTGCCCTCTCCCCACAGACTATTTGGACCTTATTCACTGAGAACAGTATTTCCCATAGTACACTGGTGGCATTATTCTATCACTTTGTTCAAATAGTTCATAAAAAAAATGTCAATGTGCAATATCGAGAATATGGCCTTCATGCTGCTGGGCTTTATTTTTTGCTACTAGAAGTACCAGGTATGTATACTTGATGTGATGGGACAAATCTTTTGTCATTTTTTCTTTCCACGTTATTTTCAACTCTTATACTTTGTTTCTTCAGTTATAAAATGGGGCAGTGATAACCCATGTTATAGAATTGTTCTAAAGATTAAGTGAGCATGTCTGTGAAGTACATAGCATGTTATAGGTATATGAAAAGTTTCTTTCCCTTTTTTCTTTACATGTGTTTGTCTTCTGAAATTATGCTGTCTATAACTGAAATCAAATAATCCAAGAGGAATTGCAAGAGCATCACTCCCATCCCCACCCTGCCACCCAAGCATAACATTCTGATAGTGCCCTTTTCTCTTCCTGACTTCCTATCCAAACTGAAAAAAATTGCTATGGGAAGTCATTGTGTTATCTCTCTCCTGTGTGGGTGTTGCAAAGTAATTTAAAACCATTCTAATCAAGAGAGCATGAGAGTAGCTAGTAATTCTTGATGAAAGAAAGCACCAATAAGGAGTCTGTCGATGAGCACTGTTTTGCTTCTGCATTGTCAGAGTACTTAAGTCGCCTGCTCCTCCTGTGGGCAGTGAAGAAGTCCATTCTCTCTTCCCCAAACCCAAGGCAAGATCAAGTAGAACATAAGAGATTGAACTGGAGGACTCAAAATTCAGGTGGAAAAGAAAATCACAAAATTTTCAACTTGCTTCTTGTCATTGTTTACATAAATGCATATGTAATTAATGCTAAGGATTTATTCCATATGATTTGGGAACAGGTAAAAAGGTATTTAAAACCTTTAACCCCGAATTATGCTATTGTTAATGCTCTTGTAAAGATTTTTGAAATAAGGTCCTAAAGAACTTTGTTGCTAAGTTGTCACTGGGCTCGCTCTCTGAAAAATAGTGGTTTTAGAAACCCAGTTTCACTCTTCTCTTCCCTTGCTAGATGCAGTTCCTTCTGATTAAGGTTGAGATTTATGCCAGAACAAAGAGGTAGCTGTTAGTGCAGACCACTTGCTGCTTTCCAGCAAGCTGTATTCTTGCCAATCACCTTCTATTTTTAAATGTTTCTGGATTATAGTTGGGATGCTGTTGATACATAATATTCAATCACAGTATGTTCTTTTTTTTTTTAAGATTGTTTTGCCTATTCTGGGTCCCTTGCATTTCCATGTGAATTTTAGGATCTATGTGTAAATTTCTACCCAAAAAGGCAATTGGAGTTTTGACAGGGATTACATTGAATCTGTACATCAGTTTGGGGAGTATTGCCATCCTAACAACATTAGGTCTTCCAATCCATGACTGCAGGATATCTTTCCATTTATTTTAGATCATCTTTAATTTGTTTCAATAATGTTTTATGATTTTGAGTATACAATTCTTACACTTCCTTTTATTCTTAAGTATTTTATTCTTTTTGATGCTATTGTAAATGAAATTGTTCTCTTAATTTCATTTTCAGGTTGTTTGTTGGTAATATATATTATAGAAGTACAATTGATTTTTGATAATTGGTCTTATATCCTACAATCTTGCTGAATTCATTTATTGGTTCTAACAAGGTTTTCTTTATATGAGATCATGTCCTTTGTCAATAGCTTTACTTCTTCCTCTGAGTCTGGATACCTTTTCTTTCTTTTTCTTGCCTGATTGCCCTGGCTAGAACCTCCAGTACAATGTTTAGTAGACATAGAGAGTGGACATCCTCATCTTGTTGCTGATCAAAGAAATATCCAGTTTCTTTGTCTTTAAGTATGTTATTACCTGTGGGTTTTTAAAGGATGCCCTTTAATTCCTAGTTTGTTGAGTGTTTTATGAAGGTTGTTGGACTTTGTCATTTGCTTTTCTGCATCTGTGAAGTGATCATGTGGTTTTTGCTTTCTATTCTAATAATATGGTATATTACATTGGTTCATTTTTGTGTATTAAAACAATTTTGCATCACCTTGGTCATGGTCTGTAATCCTTTTATATCTTGACAGATTTAGTTTGCTATTATTTTGTTGAAGATTTTTATGTCTATATTCATAAAGGATATTGTTTTTTTGAGATGTCTGTCTGGCTTGGGGATCTGGGTAGTAACAGTCCATAGAATGAATTATGTGTAGGGTTCCTTCCTCTTCTGTATTTTGGAAGAGTTTGTGAAAACTTGGTTTTCTTTTTTCCTTAGATTTTTGGTAGAATCCATTAGTGAAATCATCTGGGCCCAGAATTTTTTTTTTTTTGTAATAAGTTTATGTTTGTAGAATCTGTAGTGATTATCTCCCCTCTTTCATGCCTGATGTTGGTGATTTCTATTTCTTTGTTTTTGCTTAATCAGTCTAGATAGAGGTTTATTAATTTTATTGATCATTTTGAAGAACCTGCTTTTGATATTATTGATTATAATCTATTGTTTGTCCATTTCTTGTTTCATTGATTTCTGGTGTTATGGCTATTATTTCCTTCCTTCTTACTTTGGGTTTAATTTGTTCTTATTCTGACGTTTTTTCTTTTTCTTGTTCTGACTTTTGAAGGTGAATGCTTAGATCCTTGTTCTCACATACTTTTGTTTCTAACATTAAGTGTTTAATGCTATAAATTTCTCTCCAAATACTGCTTTATCTATATCCCACAAATTTTGGTATATTTTCATTATCATTTAGGTCAAAGTGATTTTCAGATTTTTCTTGTGATTCTTCTTACACCTGAGTTGTTTAGTACATTGAGTTTAATTTCCAAATACTTAAGGACTTGACTGAATCTTACTGTAATTGATTTCTATTTTAATTGTGTTGGGATCAGAGTATATACTTTTATTATCACAGTACTTTTAAATTATTGGCTTTATTTTTAATACCCCTGCATAGAGTCTGACTTAGTGAATCTTCTATTTGTACTTGACCAGAATGTGTATCCTGCCTTTGTTGGATCTAGTGTTCTGTAAATATCAATTAGGTCAAGTTGGTTGTAAATATCATTCAAGTCTTTTATAATCTTCCTGATATTCTATTTATTTGTTCTATGAAATACTGAGAGAGGAATGTTGATTGTCAGTTTATCTATTTCTCCTTTCAATTCTGTCACAGCCTGACAGATACAAATGTATTTCTGATTGTTATGTCTTCCTGATGGATTGATCCTTTTAGTATTATGTTAAGGCCCTGTTTTTCTGATTATATTCCTTGTCTTAAAGTCTACTTTGATAATAGGATGGCCATTACAGTTATCTTTTGATTTGTCCTTGGTTGGTACATCATTTCTCATGCATTTGTTTATAACCTATCTGTGTGTTCACATTTAAAGGGTTTCTTGTAGAATGCCTGTCATTTGGTCATGTTTTTTATCCATTCTGACATTTGCCTTTATATTGGAATGTCTAAACTATTTAAATAATTACACTTAATGTAATTATCAATATGGTTAGGTTTCTGCCATCGTTGGATTTTTTTTTTTAATCTGTTTTTAGTTCCATTTTTTCCTCTTTCCATCTTATCGTGGATTGAGTACTTTTCTAATATCCCATATTATCTCCTCTTTTGGCTTACGAGCTGTACATCTTTGCATGTATGTATATGTTTAAAGTTCTTGCTTTGTGTATACAATAAGCACTTTTAACTGTCTACCTTCAGATAATATTATATCAATTTATATATGATGTAAGAGCCATAAGACAGTATATTTTCCTTTCTTCCCTCCTCCTCTTCTTTTTTTTGAGACAGAGTCTTGCTCTATTGCCCTGGCTAGAGTGCTATGGCATCAGCCTAGCTCACAGCAACCTCAAACTCCTGGGCTCAAGCAATCCTCCTGCCTCAGCCTCCCAAGTAACAGGGACTACAGGCACATACCACCATGCCCAGCTAATTTTTTTCTATTTTTAGTAAAGACAGGGTCTCTCTCTTGCTCAGACTGGTCTTGAACTCCTGACCTCAAGCGATCATCCTACCTGGCCTCCTAGAATGCTAGGATTACAGGAGTGAGCCACTGCGCCCAACCTCTCCCCTGCTATTCTTTGTGCTTAGTTATATATTTTATTTCTACGTGTTATAAACTGTACAATTCATTCTTAACATTTCTCCTTTATATTTTATAGAACTTTTTAAAAACAAGAAAATTGTCTTTTATATTTAAAAGATTTCATCTCATATAATTTTCCTTTAGCCAGAAAAAAAATTTTTTTTAACATTTCTTGTAATGCAAATCTGCCAGCCATCAACTTTCTTGATTTCACCTTCAAAAATGTTTTTGCCTAATGTAGAATTCTAGGTTGACAGGTTTTGGGGTTTTTTAAATTATATTATCTATGCTTTGTTGTGATTTCGTTGGTGTTTGTCATGTTTGGGTTCAGTAAGCTTCTTGGATCTGTGGATTTAATAGTCTTCAACACATTTGGAAATTTTTAAGTTATTTCTTCAAATGTTTTCTTCATTCTCTTTATTACTGGGACTCCAGTTATTCCTATCTTTGACAGCATGATAGTATCCCATAAGTCACTAAGTCTATTAATTTTTTTAGTTCCTGTGCTTCTGTTATATCTTTAAGTCTACTTGTCTAATCTACTATTAAACCCATCTAGTGAATGTTTTGTTTTCAGATCAAGGAAGTCCCATTTAATTCTTTTAAAATGTTTTTCATTTCTCTCCTTATTATGCTAATATTTACTTTTAATTCTTGAGCTTATTTATAATATTTGCTTTAAGGTTATGGCCAGTTCCATTACCTCTGTCATTTCTTAGACTATTTCTATTGGCTGATTTTTCTTTTTATCATTGGGGACATTTCCATTACTGGGCACACCCAGTAATTTTTTATTGGATCCTGGACATTTGTTATGTTAGGTTATTGAGTGTCTGAATTTTGTTGTTTTCCTTTAAATAAGTTGAAGTATGTTTTGATAGGCAACCATTGATCTTTTGGGGACTTGTTTTAAAACTTTGTCATGGCAGATACAAAGTAGCCTTCACTGTATATCCAGTTTAGCCCTGCTATTAAGGTATGTTTCTTCTTGGGTCTCTACTGAATGCTCCAGATGTTTAACAAGATCTCGAATGTGTCTCAGCCCTGTGTGAATTGTGAATGTAATTTACCTTCTAGCTTCTTAGAAATATTTTTTTGCCCTCTGCGATGGAATTTTGCCCCATACGTGCATAGCTTCTATTCAGCCCTATGCAAATTTCTGGAGCTCTTTTTCTGTGTAGCTTCCTGTACTCTAGTACTGTGTTCTGGAGTAGCCAATAAATTACATCTCCCTGTGTTTCTGACTCTGATTTTTCAACTTAGTAAGACCATCATAATCTGCTTGGATCCACCATTTCTCTGCTGTTGTCCAGAAATTGCCTCTGGATATAAAACTGAGGCAATTTTAGAGTTTACCTCCTTTTCTCAGAGATTGCATTCTTTATGTTGCCTGGTGCCCAGTGTCTTAAAATGGTTATTTTATACATTTTCATCCAGTTTTATAGTTGTTTACAGCAAGAGAACAAGTGTAAAATCAGTTACTTTATCATGAACATAAGTGGAAATCTTGTTATTTATTTCCAATTCAGCACTATTGTTCCTCTACTAAGGCTGAAGTTGACAATGGTACTCTTTTGCTAAAGGTTCATTGTTATTCCAAGTTAGTGAAAAGCCTGTATTATGCTTTTTAACTTTTAATCTGTTGTTAAAGACATATTTCAAGATGATGAAATCTAGCCTGCTTACTCTTTATTCTTTATGAACAGGCAGTGTAGCCAATCAAGTATTCCACCCAGTGATGTTTGACAAATGCATTCAGACCCTAAAGAAGAGCTGGCCTCAGGAATCTAACTTGAATCGGAAAAGAAAGAAAGAACAACCTATAAGCTCTCAGGCTAATCCAAGGAGGCATAGAAAAAGAGGAAAGCCACCCAGGAAAGAAGATATTGAGGTTAAGTAGTAAATTGAATAATGAAACATATCTATACAAATACATGATTTTATTTATTTAAGGATTGACTTTTAAATATGATTTCAGGCATCATGCTTATAACCAAAAGGTCCTAAACTATCATCAGCTATTCAATACTACTTTAGGTTGCCTCTTGGGCTTCATATACTTCTAAGGGCACATTTCTGCCTTGCCATCTTTCCAGTGTCCTGATCATCTCTCCCCAGCCTTGTTCCCAAGTGTGCTTGACAACATTCTAGCTGTTGTATTTGCCACATTATCTTATTGTCTTTAGAGAGGGTGGTTGAAGTATCCTGAAGGCTCTTGTCCTTAAGAGCAGGATATAATAGCATTAATTCCAAATTCTTGTGTGACAAGGTAGGATGGTAGAAGTTCATTGACATCAAAAATTCTAAGAAACACAGGAATTCTCATTGACAAAAAACCACAGAGTTAGAAACTATAGTGGCCATCTAACCCAGTGATTTACCATTGTGACCATGGAGACCTGGAACAGTCAGGCAACCTGGTCAAAGTCATGTCACCTCATCATCAGGTACTACCTGGAGTTTAACTGGATTTGGTTTGGGTAAATTGAAAACCATGGGACAAAGTGCTAGGCATTATTTCACAGTCACCTATGTATTCATAATCTAGATGGATGAAATTATAGAACAAGAGGATGAAGAAAATATTTATTTTTCTGCCCGGGACCTTTCTCAAATTCGAAATGCCATTTTTCATGTTTTGAAGAATTTCTTAAGGCTTCTGCCTAAGTTTTCCCTGAAAGAGAAGCCACAATGTGTACAGAATTGTATAGAGGTAAGTGAAAATTCTAAGAACCTTAAGGCAAATTCAAAGGGTATAGACTATGGCTAATACTTAATGACTACAAAAAATCAGGCCTTTTCTTGGTATTTGTTTTCCAGGTCTTTGTTACTTTAACTAATTTTGACCCAGTTCTTCATGAATCTCATATTACACAAATCAGGTGAGCCATTAAATCTTCTAGTGCTACAATTTTAATATAATAATTTTTGCTCCAGGAGAAATATCAATGCCATTTTATCCTAATTGGCACACAGGTAGAATTTATTCATTTAAATATGGCTTCTAGGGATAAGAAATATTCCAAGTAAAATTATATCCATTAACTAATGTTTTGCCTTTTTTCTTTAGAGATCTTAACCAAGCAAAATACATACCTGAACTGGCCTATCACGGGTTGTATTTGCTGTGCTCCCCAATTCATGGTGAAGGAAATAAGGTAAAGGAGAAAAAGATCTAATTTAGTTACTAGTTGAGTTGAAAGCAGGTGAACCATACAATGGAAAGACATTAAAAGCATTTGATGGCCCAGGGCAGTGGCTCACACCTGTAATCCTAGCACTCTGGGAGGCCCAGGTGGGAGGATCGCTTGAGGTCAGGAGTTTGAGACCAGCCTGAACAAGAGTGAGACTTGTCTACTAAAGATAAAAAAAATTAGCCCAGTGTGGTGGTACGTGCCTGTAGTCCTAGCTACTTTGGAAGCTGAGACAGAGGATAGCTTAAGCCCAGGAGTTTGAGGTTGCAATGAGCTATCATGCTGCCAAGACACTCAGCCTGGGCAACAGAGCAAGACTCAGTCTCAAAAAAAAGCATTTGATGTAACACCATTTTAACTTACTAGGTCGTTTTCATGACCTTATATTATTTTTGTAATAAAACTTATCTCTATTTCTATTTGCTAGCATTTCTTCATTGCCAAATTTATATCAAAATACTTGTTGGCCACAGCAAATTATTGTTAGGTTTCAGACAGAAAAAAATGGTTCTATGTAAATAAGGTAAGAGGAACAGATAAGCTACTGAACAGTTACTTTCATTAAAGTACTTATCAAATTGTTTTGAAAACAAGAGTAGTCATAGAATTTTCAAATTTCTGTCAGTTTATATGTGCTTTAGTATTTCTGTTTGTAGTATTTTAGTTGGTATCCTTACAGGAATTTTATAGGTTCCCATTCCTGGTTAGAATTGTTATCTGGGTTTTGCCCCCCATGTTACCTTAATATTGTCACTGCCGTAAACATTGGAATTAGGGTTATTCATGCATGGTAGTGCTAAACTTAGATGTTATTAATAAAACAGTAACGCTTTGCAAAAACTGTGGTGAACAGGGCATGTGGCTTCTGATGGCCATGACACATTTAATTTGCAGAGACAACAGTGTAGTGGTTAAGAAGAAGGTTTGGGGATACTTAGGGTTCTGCACATATGTGTTCAAATTCTGACTTTGCTACTTACTAGCCATGTGTCCTTATATGAGTTGTAAGACCTGACAGAAGTGTCAGATTTCACATCTGGATAAAAGGACAAAAGTCTTACTTTCCTTATATATTTGTCACAGGATTAGGTGAAATTAAGCATGTCAGATGCTAAGCACAATGCCTATTGTTTAGAAAACATTCAATATTTTATGTTTTATGTCTTTCTCATTTCTGTGTGCTTGAAATATGAATGTGATAGAATTCATAGTAATGCTTTCAATTTCCATGCCGTTTTTTAACATTTTAAAAGAAAAAAATAGTTGGGAAAATTTCTCCTTTTAGGTCTACTGTTTCTCTAAAGATATATTTTTTTAATTGTAAAAGTATTGACTTGATGTTAGGCAACCATGGTTTTAGCCAGATCTTTAATTATTTATCCTTGGACAGCCCACCTTTGGAGTTTTTTTTAATTATCTGTAAAATGGAAATTATTCATGTCCTCATGGAGTTTTGTGAGGTTTTAAATATAGTAAATCTAGCTGTATATATGAAAATGCTTAATGCAGTACCTACCACATACTTGTTTTTCAGCAAATGTTTTATTTACTGGATGAAAGAATTAGTTGACTAAATTATATGAGATAATGTATTGAAAGGTGCTTTGTAAACTACAGATAAAATACAGTGTAAGCTATCCTTCACCACCTCCCACCCCCCTTTTTTTTTGAGACAGGGACTCACTCTGTTGCCTCATCAAGAGTGCAGTGGCATCATTACTGCGACCTCAAACTCCTGGGCTCAAGCAATCCTCCTGCCTCAGCCCTCCAAGTAGCTGAAACTACCAGGCATGCCACCACACTCAGCTTATTTTTCTATATTTTTGTAGTGACAGAGTCTCGCTGTGTTGCTCAGGCTGGTCTCAAACTCTTAACCTCAAACAGTCCTCCCATCTCAGCCTCCGAAAGTGGTAGGATTATAGGCATGAACCACTGTGCCTAGCCATCTTCCCCTTTTTCTAATAAGGGAATATTAGTAACATTCTGTGTCATTTATAAATATGACAATGAATTGCCCTAATTTCTGACTTATAATATGCAGGAGATGGGGAGAGAAACTGGATGATGTTCTTGTCATTATCAGCAATTCTTTCACACTCTTTACATTGTATAATACATTTATCAAGTACTTGATAATTATCTAAGAAATACATCCCTAATCTTTAGCCAGCAATTATGCTAATCTGACTTACCTTCAGATGGCTTGAAATGGTTTCCTAGAGTCTGTGTCACTATGTTTAAGCCCCTTGGGTTCTCTATCAGGCTTTAAATTGAATTTTTTTTTCTCTTCTAGGTTATCAGTTATGTTTTCCATCAAATGCTCAATGTAATATTAATGTTAGAAGCAGGTGAAGGATCCCATCACACTCCCCTTACTATTACTTCCCAAGTCATCAGTCAGAGAAACCAGGCAGTCCAGTTTATCAGGTGAAGCATACACATCTTGAATTTTCACTCTCTTCATCTCTTCCTCAGTCATCTGTGCCCTGTGCTAACCAAGATTTCTGACACGGAATTAGAATTCCTGGCCTGATAGTGGCTTGGGGGACCAAAATAAGGCACTTCATAGCTAATCGGGTTCATGTGGTCTGTGTCACTGTTGGTTGCCCCTGAGTGGGGTATTGTTAAAGAAGTAAGGAGTCTGCAGCTTGGGGGCCAGAGCCAGCCTCCAGCGTAATTGCATCCAGCCCGGGAGGTCAGCCTCTGAGAGGACAGTCGCCTCTCCTTTTTTCCATCATTGTCTGCTTTACTGTTTACTACCGCAGCACATCTGCCTCTTCTTTCTCTTTTCTGTTTCTCTCTGCTCTACGTCTCTTTGCATTTGTTCTTTGTAACTTTTTCTTTGATTCTTCTCACTTTTCTGTTCCTCTCCCCCTACAGAAAATACTTCCTGAAGGGAAGAATTAAGTTGCTTTTTTTACTTCTTTAGCAATAATTGATAGACCACTTTTTCCCTCATGAGTCACTCATCTTCACTTAAAAAGTCTCATGTCTTAGCTTTATTAGCAAAGACATGCTTGCTGTGTCAACAGTTTTTTTTTCCCCCTCCTTTACTGAATATTTGGCATGCAGTTTGGAAGTGGTGCAGAGAAATGGTAAGTGTGTACATACCTGCAGGTATGCACAGTATGTAGTATGGTTCAAGACTTAGGGTATGGATGATGTCATCTTGTCACTGAGCAAATGTGTCTTACTAGAGATTTTTTAAAACGTTAAATAACTAAGGTGTTTTAAGTGGAAACACTGTTGCTTTGGTTTTTCTCAGAGTTCATATCACCAATTGCAGTAATGTTGTATAATGGTACAGATAAACTTAGCACCAAAAATGAATTAAGTCTAGGCATTGTAGTAATTTCTTCTTGTGATAAAGTTTGGAAAAGTAATCTTACAAATACATTAGAGTAGCAGCATTTCACTGAGCTATTATGAGGCAGTACTGTGTCTTACCAATTTTTATATTTACCACAAAAGGATATATTAATATTTTACATCTTAATATGAAATTTAGTAAATAGTCAAAAGAGTCATATGAAGATTACATTTCTGCTTTTCCCTGAGGACTCAGCTACTCAGCAGTAGCTCTCAAAACTATGCATAGGAAGCACTTAGTTTTCTACTACGATGTGTTATGTCTTTGCTCTTCATTCTACTGAGACAACTCTTATAATGTGGGGGTAGTTTTTAATATTTACATTGTAAATAGAGGAGTAGTGGTTTTGGAGGACAAAGTCACTCACTATATTGTAAATGGTGGATATGTTTTTCTTTTAAATAGCTCACTTGTGGATGAACTGAGGGAGAGCATATTCCCAGTCCTCCGTGTCTTACTGCAGCACATCTGTGCCAAGGTACCATTTGCTTCAGTAATAACAACACAAAAGTATGTGACTCGTAAAGATGAATGTGTGTTTGTGTGTGTGCATGTTCTTGGGAATGAGTCTATATCATTACCAAAAGTAGTCTTATTTAAATATTCGCTGGATGTTCCCCAGATAAAGGGTTCTGTAAAAAATTAGTTTTTATTTTGGAAAATGTCAAACACACACAGAAACGAGAAGAAGGAGGTCAACCACTACATATCCGTCACCTGTCTTCAACAATTCTGTGTCATTTACACCCCTATCACTCCCTCTAACACATGTATACATTGGATTTTTTTTCTGGATCATCTGGAAGGAATGATAGATTGTTTTTTTGAAGCAAATTCCATCATTTCCTTTCATACGTAATATTTTAATATGTTTCTCTAAAGAATAAAAACTCTTGAAAAACATAGCCACAAAATATTAACACACCTAAAAAATTATACAGCAATTCTTTAATTTTAATAACTATCCAGTCTGTGTTCAAATTTCCATAATTATCTCTTAAGTTTTTGTAACCGTTTTAATTCTTTTTTTTTTTTTTTTTTTTGAGACAGAGTCTCGCTTTGTTGTCCAGGCTAGAGTGAGTGCCGTGACGTCAGCCTAGCTCACAGCAACCTCAAACTCCTGGGCTCGAGCGATCCTTCTGCCTCAGCCTCCCAAGTAGCTGGAACTACAGGCATGTGCCACCATGCCCGGCTAATTTTTTATATATATATATTAGTTGGCCAATTAATTTCTTTCTATTTATAGTAGAGACGGGGTCTCGCTCTTGCTCAGGCTGGTTTCGAACTCCCGACCTCGAGCAATCCGCCCGCCTCGGCCTCCCAGAGAGCTAGGATTACAGGCGTGAGCCACCGCGCCCAGCCTTGTCAAATAACTTTTTAAATATGCAAGCCTGATATATTTGAAAGGCCTTTTTAAAATATTTCAGATGTTCCTAGTTTAGAGGTGAGATTGTGGACTGCCTGTACTATTACTTTGCACTGGTAGACATTGGACCCAATACCCATTTCAAGTGCATATTCAAGGAGAACATTATCAATGGTCAATTTAGAGTCCATCTACCTGGTCTGTAGGCCCAATTATCTTGATTTTGATCCTTCTGTGGATATTTACTTAGGGTTTATGCTACTGTAACTTTCTTTTCTTTCTTCTATCTGCTTATTTTTAGGTCCTGCAGTTTCAGGAATAGAGAGTCACCCCGGTACCTTACTAAGAAATTCATCAGGTAATGGATCAATATATTTTCAAATACTGAATAATTATCTTGTAAAAATTTGCTGAATATTTGAAATGTGTTGTCTATTCTCATACTTACTTATTCTGATACTTTACTTTTTTGTCATTAGAGAAGTTGAAATTCATTTCGGCAATAATGTAGTAACTTTTAATGAGTTACATGCTATGCTTATGTTATTACAAAGTATAACACATTTATACTTTAATAACTGTGCTTTTTTTTATGTTTAAGCTTTTTCCTATCGAAGGCAGACAGTTAACTCTTCTGTACCATCAGAGGATATCCACATAGACAGCGGTGGTGAAACAGTTGGATCTGGGGGTATGTCAGATTTTATCACTGTCAGATAGTTAATACTGTTGCATTTCAGAGAACCGTAAGTAGAGTCTAGAAATGTTGGATTTTTTTTTCTTAAAAGTAGAAGAATTTCTATTACATTTTTAATTGATATCCTTGCACTACATCATATTTCATTTTAAGATAAAGAAAAAGCCACATTCCAGTTAACATGTACTGATCCTGCTCCCTGTACCTGTAACACTTAAGATAGTATTAGAATGTTTTATTTTCTCATTAAAGCCAATAGTTGTGAGCTCTTGGGATTGCTGACCAAAAAAGGACCAGTTACTGGGGAAAGTGGAGTGGAGATTAAATTTGCATTTGAGAAAAAGTCATCGCCAAAAAGAAGGAATGGTGAACAGTCCCCAGTCTTGTTCCTGATTCATTCTGCATCACTTTTGCCTTCACATCATCTTGACTGTGACTCAGCCATCCCAGAATCCAGTTCTAATATATGGTAGGGAGTATTGTGTCCAAGCTTCCACTGAAAAAGACATTTCAGAATTTAGCTTATAATTTCTCTTCAGAAATTATACCAACTTGTTACCGAGTCAATCATTAAATAGCTGTATGACCTTGGGTATGCCAGTTGCATCATTTTCTAGTCCTAACACCCTCCCTGTCTTTTTTTTTTTTTCTTGAGACAGAGTTGGCTCTGTTGCCCAGGCAAGAGTGCCGTGGCGTCAGCTTAGCTCACGGCAACCTCAAACTCCTGGGCTCAAGCAATCCTCCTGCCTCAGCCTCCCAATTAGCTGGGACTACAGACATGCGCCACCATGCCCGGCTAATTTTTTCTATGTATTTTTAGTTGGCCAATTAATTTCTTTCTATTTTTAGTAGAGATGTCAGTTTCACTCTTGCTCAGGCTGGTTTCAAACTCTTGACCTCGAGTGATCCTCCCGCCTCAGCCTCCCAGAGTGCTAAGGCCTCAGCCTCGCAGGATTACAGGCGTGAGCCCCCACGCCTGGCCTCTCCCTGTCTTTTACAGAGGGCTGTTGTGAGAATCTGTGGAAATAACGTTTTAGGGAAGTGATTTAAAGAGACAGAAAGAGAAAATATTAATATGTGTGGATTAATTATATAATTAGCTTTATTCATTGAAGAAACATTTATCTGGTCCTTCCTAATCTGTCCTAGGCATTGTAGATAATATACCTTAATAGAACATAAATTTATTTTTATCTCTTAAGGAGCAATGGAAGAGACAGCTATGTGTATGTGTGTGTGTGTGTGTGTGTGTGTGTGTGTGTGTGTGTGTGTGTGTGTATAAATGTTTTTTGTGTAAATGTGTGTATATACACACACACGTACACACATATATAATGCTGTGAGACAGGTGATGATGATTATGTAAAGTGCCAGGAGGATGATTACTCTTATCATTTAGCCTAGAAGATTAGCATAGAATTAACTTTGTGAGGCTAGATATTAGCATGTGTTACTCAAATTCAGAGCAATAACTGAATTTATAAGAAACAAGATTCATTAAATTTTGTAGAAAACTTTAATATGGAAAAATGCTGCATGTTTCTGTTGACTCCAGTCTTCCATTTAACAGGTTACAGATTTACTGTTGCATAGACTTTTCCCTTTTTATTTTTTTTTCATTTTTCTATAGTATAGCATGACTTTCAGAGTCTTTTCTAAGCAATATCAAATTTTGTTGATTTAAGAATGCTTTAGAATTAGAAAAGTTTGAAAATCTAAAGAGTCCATGTTCTCATTTTCATAAACTGAAAGAACATGTATTATTGGCATTAATTATAACTTAAAAAATCTATGTAGTTACTACATACCATGTACTGTGCCAAGTTCTTTCTTTGTTTTTTTTAATTGATATATAGCTCACATACTATAAAATCCATCACTTGAAGTATATAATCACAAGATTGTACAGTCTAATTCCAGAACATTTTCAGCAGCTGAAAAAGAAACCCTGTACCCATTGGCAGTCACTCTTCATTCACCCCTTCTTCCTTGTTTTCTGTCCCTGTAGAATTGCCTATCCTGAGCATTCTGCATAAATGGAATCATATAGTATGTGGGTTTTTTCTGTCTGCTTCTTTCACTTAGCATGATGTTTTCAAGGTTCATTCCTGTTGTGGCATGTATCAGTACTTCATTCCTTTTTATGATAGAACACTGTTCCGTTATAAGGATATCACATTTTGTTTATCCATTCATTAATTGATGGACATGTGAGTAATTTCTACTTTTTGGGTATTATGAATAATGCTGCTGTGAGCATACATGGACATATGTTTTCATTCCTTCTGAGTGTATACCTAGGAGTAGAACTGCTGAGTAATGTGGTAACTCTCTGTTTAACATTTTGAGGAACCACCAAACTCTTTTCCAAAGTGGCCACACCATTTTACAATCTTACAAGGAATGTATGACAATTCTGTTTCTCCATATTTTTACAAACACTTGTCAGTCTGTTTTATTTTAAACATCTTAGTGGGTATGAAGTGGTATCTCACTGCGGTCTTGATTTACATTTCCCTAATTACTAATTATGTTGAGCAGATGTTATGTGCTTACTGGTTATTTGTATATCTTTGGGAAAAGACACACAAATTCAAGCCCTTTGCCTATTTTTTAATTGGGTTATTTGTCTTTTTATTTTTTAGTTGTAAGAGCTCTTTTTATATTCTGAATCCAAGTCCTTTATCAGATAAGTGATTTTCAAATATTTTTCCCCATTTCTGTGGGTTATCTTTTTACTTTCTTGATTATGTTCATTGAGACAAAAATTTTAATTTTGATGAAGTCCAATTTATTTTTTTCTTTTTTTACTTATGATTTTGCTGTCATAGCTGAGAAAACATTGCCTAATTCACGGTCACAAAGATTTGCTCCTGTGTTTTCCTGTAAGAGTTTTATAGTTTTACCTCTTCTATTTAGGTCTCTGATCAATTTTGAGTTAATTTTTGCATATGGTATGTGTAGGGTTCATCTTCACTCACATGTGAATATTCACTTGCCATAGCACCATTTGTTTGAAATTCCTTCACTATTCCTTCACTTTTCAATGGTCTCGGCACCCTTGTAGAAAATCCATTGCCTTATTTATATGAGCTTATGGGTTTATTTCTCTACTCTCAATTTTATTCCACTGATCTATATGTCTGTCTATATGCCAGTACCACATTGTATTGATTGCTGTTGCATTATAGTGGGGGAGAGGAAAAGTAACTTTTTCCTCATCCCTCATGAGTTCTTAGTTGGAATGGACCCTGTAACAAAAGAAAAATTAGTGAGAGAAAGAAGAAAAACAAAGAAGTTTATTAATGAGTTCAATGCACACCATGCAGGAAAAACCTAAGGCAAAGGAGCTCAAAGCAATGGCTTAAAAGTCCACTTATATAACATCTTCAACAAAGAACAGTAAATTTGTAGA